ATCTATATTCTTAAAGAATGAGCAAAAAAATTAGCTCTTGAAAGGAAATTTATTCAAGAATTAAACCCCACTGACTGCCATAGGCTTTCCAAAGATGGAAACACCGACTATAAGGCAAAGCACCAGGAGGGGAAAAAACCCGAAGCAGCAGGCAGTGCAGACATTACCAGGAAACTGAGTTTTGCTCCACACGTGCCTCTGGGCGCCTGAATGGGCCTGACCCTGGCAAGACTGAAGACAAGGAGAGGACCTGGGTCCCTCCCTACTGAGAAGCCCCCAGGAGGACAGACCCCTAAACAGACGATGGTGACCCGGCGTGAAGGGCGCCGTCCTAACAGCTCACCGAAGATGCTGAGGGGGACAGGCCTCCAGAGAGACGGATGTGCCTGGAGGTGGAAGCACCGTTACTTGCCGAGCAGAAGGCAGGCAGAACAGCACATGGGAGGCTCAGAGGTGTGGGGCTCCCTGGAGCGGAGTCCCTGAGCCTGAGCGCCCTCACAGTCCATCTGGAAGGAGCAAGGCGCAGCTTGCCGCAGCTGCTGGCCCCGCCTCGGGGACTCTGATCAGCAGGGCTGGGGCGGGCGGGTGGGCCCCAAGACCCCACACTTCTAACAAACTCCCAGGTGAGAATGCCATTTGCCAGACTACACTACAGGGAGCAAAGGTCTGGAGCTTCCTCCCAATGCATTAGCCACCAGCCAAATGTGGCTATTTACATTTAAATTACATTTAAAATAAAAATCCCATTCCTCAGTTACACCAACCACATTTCAGGTGGCTAGGGACGAGTGGCTACGATGCTGGACAGTGTGGATCTGGGACATTTCCATCACTGCGGAAGGTTCTACTGGCTGCACTGGTCTAGGTGAGAGCTCAGCTGAGGAAGTAGCTGCCTGAGCTGAAGTCTCAGGGGCTGAGAGCAGGTGGAGGGAGATGAACCTGGGAGTTAGCCCGATGCTGAGGGCAGCTCAGCCAGCCCCAGGGCAGGGGCCTGGGACTCCTCGTGGGTCTAGGGATGCTTTTCAGCCTTGAAGCTGTGGGAGCTGGCCAGCAGGCTGGGGGACAATGTGGTCACGTGTCCCTCAAAGCTGACAGCACAGGACGCTGGCTCCCGGTCATCATGCAGTACTTTACAAAGGACAAGCTCTTCCATTAGCAATAGCTATAAACATGGACAAAAAGAGCAGATGTTTGAAGGCAGTGGAGACTGACCAAAAACAGGTGAGAACTGGAGGCGAGCCTGCCCAAGGGTGCACGTGTGCACATGTGCACGTTCTGCATTGTACAGCTTTCCCTGGACCCTGCACTGCATGGGGGACAGACACCAGACGCAGAGCTGCTGTCTCACGGCCCTGAGGAGTCAGTGGACGGAATTTAGGGCTGCCAAAGCAACTGGAAATTGAGGGGAAAACCCTGGCGAGGAAGGACCCAAAGGAGGAGACACTCCAAAATCTGCCCATGACCTCCCCTGGAATCCCTGTCTGACTTGCCCAGGAAAAGGCTGAGAGTCCAAGAGCCGGAAGTACAGCTGAGCAGAGCAGCCAGAGAGGAGACAAAGACTGGACTTCAGGTCCTGCCAAGTCGGGGACCAGGGAAAACCAGGAAAGGCCCACCTGTTCTGGGACTGCAGGGGCATGGAATAAGGGGTCGTAAGGGCAAAAATAAGAAACCATGTGTCTTAGAGCCTAGGGCCAAGCCCCCACCAAGTCAAAATCATTCACTGATAATTAAATGGGCACTAACATGAAAGTCAGTACACTTCATAGGAAGACGATAGAATTCAGAATCTACAATGTATCAGCCACAATATCCAGTATATTATATGGTCACAACAAAATAATCTAGTCATAGGGCGAAACAGGAAAAGGTGACTCACAGTTAACAGAAGTAACAGCAATAGACACAGGCCTGCAGATGTCCTGAATGTTGGCGACTGGCAGAAAAGGACTTTAAACCTGACAGATAATGGCTGAAGAGATGGAAAATCTCAAGAGAAATTACTTGTGAAAAAAAGTAAATGTAAACCCAGAAACAAAAATGACAGTATCTGAAAAAGTTTTTTAAATATCATCACTGAATAAGATTAACAGTAGATCGGCTACAACAGAGGGTCCAAGGAACTTAGAGACAAGACAGAAATTACCTCAACTCGGGCACGTGAAGAAACAAGACTGAATAATAAACAGAGCCTCAGTGACCAGTGGGCTGGTGTTACGTGACCTGATACACTACACATAGTCGGAAGTCTAGTGGGAGAGAGGACGGAGAAAAGAATTCTATGGGCTACTGGCTGATTTCTCTCCAAATACAATCAAAAACAGCAACCTAGAGATTTACAAAGTTCAACAAACTCCAAGGAGGAAAAATAAAAATAAAATCACATCTTACATAACATTATACAAAACTGCTGAAAACTAAAAACAAAAAACAAAAAATCTTAAAATCAGCCAGAGAAAAAGCATACATTGTGTATAGAGATACAAAAATAAAAATCACTATCAGCCTATCAGAAACAATAGTGGCCAAAAGACAAAGGAATGACAATTTAAAGAGCTAAAAAGAAAAATACTGTTGAGCCAGAATGTTACATGCAATCAACGTATCTTTCAAAAATGAAGACACAATAAAGACATTTTCCTGGCAAATTAAAGTACAAGATGATATTGCCAGTAGACTTGTGCTACAAGAAATGCTAAAGGGAGATATTCAAGCTGAAAGGAGTTGACAGCAATTGGAAATTCGTAGGCACAAGAATGGAGAGAAGAAATGGTAAATACATGTGTAAATACAATTTTTTAAAAATATTCAAGTCAATGGACTGTTTCAAGCAAGAACAATGTACGCTCAGGTTTGCGGTATGAGGATGACAGCAGAGGACGGGAGGCATGTAAGTGGGATCACGCCCACTGTCGGGCTTCTCTCTTCTCTAGGAAGGGACTTTACTATCAGTGTAAGGCAGACACCGATAGGTGAAGGGTGCATATTATAAATCCTGAGCAACCTCGAGAAATCCCAGTCTGAGGAGGGACACAAAGTGCACACCACAACTTGCAACTGTGTGTCACAGGAAGAGGCTGTGGCCTCTCTGGGTTAATGAGCACTGAACCCCTAATTACCCAAGGAGTGGAAATGTCCTGGCTGCCCCGGAGCCCACATCCCCGGGGAGCAGCAGAGGCAGACAGACTGCTGTGTGGTTTCCGCTGATCTCCCAGCTCCGTGACCCTGGGCAGTCACCCCTGCTCCCCTCCCCGTGCAGAGAGGCCACCTGGGGTGAACCAGAGGCCCCCTCTGGAGCTGGATGAGCTGTGGCAATTGCCACCATGCTAACGACCCCACCAAGCACCTGCCTGGGGCCCAGCCTGATGGACCCCGAGCCCATTCCTTCCTTTCATCTCAGTTGCAGCCTCAAGGACCACAGACAAGGAAACTGAGGCGCTGCCCCTGCCGTCCAGGACGGGAGGAGGACGAGGCGGCAGTGGTTTTTCATGCAAGATGGTGAGGGATGCAGGTGCTGGGGAAGAGGTCAGAGGGCAGTGACTTCCATGCCGGGGTCACCCTGACACCACCTCTGAGACGATGGCCCCATCCACGCACCAACTAAAGCACCATCATTGGTATTTTGTGTCCCGTTGATTTTCCTGTTAGCAGAACGGATCCGTTTTTGAAGAGCACTTCACTTTGCCCCTGACAATGGAAGGCCAGCGCCCCGGAGTGCACGATGGCACAGTGGGAGTGCCTTCCCTGGAGGGCGAGACACACCCACGTCCAAAGTAACCCTGAAGCCCTTGCTGGGAAAGCCTCCTGGGCGTCACTGCCAAGGTGTGAACCCCACTCCAGCAGCCGCTGTGACACTGGGCAAGTCACTCAACCTCTCTGAGCCTCGGTTCTTTCTGGGGCACCAGGTCACTGACCCCCCTCAAGGTGTGAGGTTTGAATATGACAATGGATATAAACTGTCGAGTGCAACAGGGCTTGGGAGACCAACAAGACAGCGCCTACCTCATGGGGACGGGGCACCCTCTCTGCACGCCAACCCGCCTCTCCCAGTCTGGGGGCCTCTGAGAGCCCTGCCTACACCGCTCGACGGAGGGCTCCGTGGGGACGGGTCAGGTCATTCTGGATGGCACAGTGCCCACCTCCAGAGTCAGAGCCCATGCTGACCAGGGGCGCTGGGAGCTAGGGGACCTCACCCACCGTCACCTGTGTTGAATGCACTTCTCAGCTCACTGGCTTCACACTCACGTCTGTGAGTAGCAGGTTGGACGTGGGGAGGCTGCAGCTCCAGCTCCCAAACCCAGGGCTGCTTTCAGGGAATTGTGCTCCTTCTGTCCTGCCACTAAGGGCTTCCTACACCAGACGGCCCCCACAAAAGTGGGACCAGGTTGGGAGGGGCTCTGCGGCCAGGAAACCCCTCCCAGGACCCACCTCATGGGTCAGAGCGGCTCCATGCGCTCAGAGCAACCAGGACCTCTCCCGGGGCCCCCACACCAGGGTGAGGCTCGGGTGGGCTGGTCTCCACACGGGCTTGGGAGGCAGCCCTGGGACCTGGGGCTCCTGAGGGCAGGGCCCGTGCCCCACCCTGGTGGTGCTGCCTGAACAGGGTGCCTCTCAGAGGAAGAAGTGTCCCCTCAGTGCCATGGGCAACACCACCACCCACACTCGACACTACTGAATGGGAAGGTCGCCAGGGCATATTCTTTGGAAAACTGAGGACAGAACAGTGTACGACGATGCCATCTTTTGTGTAATCGTACATAAAATACACGAAGACTATGCTCTGTAATCAAAAGAACCAGCAGTGTGTCTGGAAGCAGCAGGGAGAAGGGCGGGGGTGGCGGCTGTGCCCATGGCACAGGCCTCCAGCCTTGGTCACACCGTGCCCGTATGCTTGCTACCGTCAGCAGGAGCCACGGGGGGAGATGGGACACCTCCTTTGGTTCTAAGGCAGAAACAACCCCCACGTGTTACAGCTTTTTAGAATCCCCTGTCCGGCGGGGTGGCTTTCCAGCCCAGGCAGGCGACGGTGCAGCCGGGGGCAGCTGCTCTCCTCAGGCAGGCAGCCAGAACCAGGCCTGGGGCGGCCGGCTCGGCACATCTCCGTCCTCAGCAGTGCGAGCGGGCAGAGAACCCTCAGGCTCTCATTCTCATGCAGTCTGAACGCACTTGGCGGCCCCACTCACAATGCAAACCCAGCTCTCGGCTGGGCTGGGTCAGGAGTGATCTGCCGGCTCCAGTTGTCACTGTTTATGTAACACGCTTGTATCACCATGAAAATCTGGAGGGAGGAAGAAGGGAAATGGCCGGGAACCCAGGAGCCCAGGAAGGGCAGGACTCGGAGGGACCGGGGCCTTTCTCCCTGGCTCAGCCTCCCACCCGGCGCCACGCGCAGGGCACACGCGACTCACAGAGCCTGCTTGTCCGTCTTGGGAGTCTGGGATGGCCGCAGCTCGGCCGGCCCGTGCGCAAACGGGCAGCGGTCTGCAGGCAGCACGCAGCCGTCAGGGTGATGCACGGAAAACCAACAGACTCGGGTCTTGAAAGCTTCGGAAAACAGCCTCTGTCTGGCCTTTGGCCGCTTTTCCTTCCGCAGCCCCTCTTCTCTCCAGTCACGGATGTGGACTCTCCCCTTCAGAACTGCGGTTTGGGAGAAAACAGACACAGCCCAGAAGTTACCCTGAAAGCTGACCGCTTCACAGGGTCTGTGAGGCCCCAGCTCAGGGGAGGGGGGCAGCCCCCAGGGCTGGGGACGCAGCAGCAGGAGCGCAGTCTCCACCTCGGCAAGCTGGCTCGGAGTGCGCCCCCGGCACCAAGAGCCCCCACGTGACTGGGGGGCGCAGTGATGGAGGCAGACCCGGGAGCCCAGCCAGGGAAGGGAGGGCAGGAAACAGAAAGGAGAGTGGCGTCCCTGGTGAGGAAGCTGCAGCGTCAGGGTGGGAGCTGTCCGGGCAGCATGCTGGACTCTGGGGGAGAGGTGCAGAGCCCCGTGCAGAGCCAAGGTCCTGGCAGCGAGGGGATCTAGGGTGTGGCCTTGGGGGAGAGAGGCTGGGGCAGCTGGGGGGTGGGCTTGGAGGAGACCAGGCTGGGGACCTGGCAGACCAGGCGACACAGGCATGGTCCCTATTTCGGACAGCATGCCGGAAACCGTTTCATCTGCAGGGGGCACAGGTCCCCGAGAGCCATATCCCCTCATCGCAAAGGGCAAAGGACCAAGGCATGAAGCGGCCCTTTCTGGGCAGGGAAGGATGAGGGGCAAGCTGCAGGAGCCACCAGGCTTGCTGGCACCCCCACCACCAGAGCCGCCGACAGCGGGTCAGGGGACAGCAGCCCCGTCAGCAGGGAGCAGTGGGCAGCTGAGCCGGGGGGCACACAAGAAGGGGGCTGTGGCCCCTTTAGCTCACCAGCCCACCATGGAGCTGCCCCCCGAGCCAGCTGCCCCCAGTTGGGGTGAGCCTCCCGGGAGCTTCCCCGGGCTGTTCACCATGAGAAGCCAAGTCCATGTGAAACGAGGCCAAAGCAACCAAATCTGTCTGGTTTTCCCTGGAAGCTGTGAACCCACCAGAGACGGAAAGGCTTGGGGAGAAATAAAGGAAGCGTCCTCAGTCAGTCTGGCTCTCCCACTTCTAACGAGAACTTACAAGTAGGAACTAAAGCTTGGACTTGGATTTCAAATCTCCTCGGCAACACCGAGACAGTCTGTCTTCACAGACAGGTACTTATTAAATCGTTTCCCTTGAAACCAGACAAAGGAGCAGAGAGGTGCCCCGGGAGGGGGAGTCATCCTCACGGGAGGCCACAAGTGCCTTCCCCAGCCTGCACACTCAGGCTGGGGGACCCTGCTGAGCTCCACAGATGTTCCCACAGTGGTGCCCTCCCGGCGCAGCGGTGACGCATCCCAGCGGGTGCGCAGCCTAAACCCCTGAAGTGTGTGTGCAAGGAGCCCTGGAGGCAAGACCCCCATCAGGCTCCTGGGGCACATGCCCCAGGAAGAAGAGGGGCCCTGGCCCAGCCTCATGGTGTGGACGTGCTCGAGAGAAATGTGGAAGAGATGGCAGGGCCTTGTTGGTGCCAAAGGTAGGTCGGGCCTGGGCCCCTCCCCTCAGGCCAGGCCGGCTCTCAGTAGGTCCTCCTGGGACGCCTCAGGAAAGAAGACAACACCCAGTCAGCCACGTTTTTTGGAGCAATACCTGCAGGGCCTGGGAGAAGGGGCCCAGCCAAGATTTCTAAGGCCTGGAAAGTGGGTGCTAAGGACTGGAGACGGCAGAGGCCAGGGTGCTGTGGAGCTGGCCAGAGCCCACATGCTCCCCCACGTGCCCAGGCTGGGGGCAGTGCCCTGCAGTCCCCTCCCATCCCAGGCAGGTCTGGGCCAGGTGCCCAGGCGCCCAGGCGCTGCCCTCCTGGTGCACACACTCCAGCCAGCTTGCAGTCAGACAACCAGGAGATTCCTGCCGGTGCAGGAATGTGCTCCTGATTTTAAAGAAGAATTATAGGAACAGAATACACTCTACCCAGGTTCACTTCCCAACACGTTTCTGAACATTTCTTCCCCAAAGTATACACTTTCTCAGATTTGAACACAACACACAAAACCCACTGCTCCATCTCCTCCTTTTCTGACAGTGGACGCTATCTTAATCAGTGTTCTGAGAAACTGGCTTAAGATTCTTCCAGAAATCACTATGGGCAATTTATGGGACAGTGCCACGTGCTGAGGTCCTGGTCAGACGTGGCCTGGGTCAGCAGCCTGGCCTCTCCACTCATGGGAGACCTTGGGCAAGTCTCCGACCTCTCTGAGTAGTGTCTGCATCAAGACCACTAGCTAAGGGATTGAAGAGATGTGCGTAGACCACTCAGTGCAGTGCTGTCACCGATGTGCTCCACCGGCCGGAGCTTCCTGACCACAGGCACAGGCCAGGCTGCGCAGGCCCCAGGAAGGCGCAGGCCAAGAGCGTGGGTCCCCTCCATGCAGCAGCCCCAGTGCTGCCTGGCACTTAGCCGGGGCTTGGCACTAGCTGAACTGAAAGCATCTGAAGTCGTTTTACATTCTTAACTTGTAAACATTACTAGAGACCCACTGTGTTAATTAAAAAAAAACACTATCCTGCAGAGACAAGGCCCAGCTTTGATGCATACTTTTTGCATGACTGCAGCAGAATGTTTACTCAGAGCCCCGTCTCAGGCTGCCTCCTCAGAAATGTTTCCAACAATAAATATGCTCCCCCATGGTGAACTGCACAGAAAAGCAATCACATACATGCGTATTTAAGATAGAAAAAAAGCTATTATTTCATGAAATTAAATCAAAAAAATGTGCTGGGAAAACCAGAAGAGCAGCCCCTCTGAGCCGCACGAAGAAATGTAATTGTCTAAAGCTTTGCAGAAGGGAGAGGAGACCCCAGGCAGCCTGTGCCGGGCCCTGCTGGAGGGGGATCCCCTTCAGTTCAAGAAGGGCCCCCTCCACTCACTCACCTGTGGGGACCTGCCTAACCCAGCCACAGCCCCAGCAAGCACCCCACAGACGGAGGCCCCAGTCCTGTGGCTAACTGCCACCCTAACAGCAGCAGCCACTGGAGAGAAGCCAGGTTTAAGCGAAAACCCAGTGTAGCCCCACAAGGGCAACCAGGCCACCCGATGGCATGGCAGATGCTTTCCTGAACTCACACAAACACACGGAGGGGCAGGTGGGTGCACCTGAGTGCAGACATGGTAGGGCTGCACCCAAGCTCACATGCACACAAGGTGGAGGTGGGGTTGGGGGTGCACCTTAGCTCATGTGCATGCATTGGGGCAGCACCCGAGTGCATGCATGGAGGGAGCACCCAAGTTCACACACACACATGGGGGAGGGGGAGGGATGGGTGCACCCAAGCTTGCGTGCAGGCATGGGGGTGCACCCGAGTGTATGCATGGTCGGGGGAGAACCCCAGTACACGCGAGGAGGTGGGGAGAGGAGGCAGCACCCCACTCCTTCAGGGGTTGCAGGCTGAGGGAGTGCACGGATTAGCGTCCGTCCACTGTGGGCCAGCCGAGGACTCCTTCCCCACCATCTGCCCAAGTCACGGTCCAACCCATACTCCACAGCAGCACAAAGTTGGGGGTGAAGGATCTGCCCAAATCCTGGGGTTCAGGTAGCTGCCTGCATGCCCGCAAGGCCTCCAGGCCCCGCCCACAGAAGGCACCCTGTGAGCTGGGGACCCTGGAACCCAACAGCCTCCCCATTGTGAGGAGGGTGAGTTGAGTGTGCGCCACAGGATTTCTTGCTGTGACGTGGCTGTGCACCAAAGCAGGGGGCTCGGGCTGCGGGGCGGGGCCCGGCCGCAGGGAGCGCAGCGTCTGGCCGGGGCAGCAGGGCGCAGCGAGGTGACGCGACGCAGGACATGTGACAGAAGCACGGGCGGATCCGGGGGCCCCAGGCAGGACTGCGTGGGGCAGACACAACTGTTCAGGAAAGGTGCCCTGGACCAGGCAGAGGGCGCTCAGGGTGCTCGTCCGCAGGCCGCCCAGGGCCAAAGCCCCGCCCCAACCTCAGCCCGGGAGGCCCTCAGCCATGTGAGCCCAGCCCGCATGCTCTCAGCGCGGCTCCTCCTTCCGTGTGAGGGGCAAGCAGATCGGGCCCAGGGGGAAGCAGGCCTGGGGTGGTGCCGGAGGGCACGAGAGGTAAGGGCGGCGTGGCCGGTGCCCTGACCCGGCGGAGATGCTCACACGGTGACTCCCTGTTCTCTTTTCAACTTCCCTGTAAGTCTGTCCTGCTCTAAGATACAGTTCATTTAGGGAAAATGGAAGGTGGGGCTGGGAAAGAGGGACGTCAGAAGCTCCTGCTGCCTTAGGCGCGGTAGAGCGTGCCGTCGGGTATCTGAGAAACAGGCCCATGTCAGGCTAAGTCCCTTACCTTCAAACACCTGGTGGTTGTTTCTAAGCAGCGTCTGCAGGCCTCCGCATTCCCGCTTCAGCCGCTGTAGAGTCTCCCTGCCCAGCTCGCTGGCCACTTCAGCCAATGAAAGGCTCTCTGTTAACAACGGGGTTTCCCCAAACAACAAAAGGCTGTTACAGACCCGTTCCCCAGGCACAAGCTGTTGGGCCTGGAAATCAACACCAGGCCCATACATTCAAATCCCTCATGTGTGTCAGCAGGAGGGACCCCGAAAATTTAAATTTAATTCAGTGTACACCTCACAACAGCTGGAACTACACAGGCACAGCCGCCACCACCCGAGGGGCCTGGAACTTGCCACCTTCCAGGCCCTGCTTAGTGTCTCACTTCCCCCCACCCAGCCAGCCACCCAGCCAGCCTCTAGGTGAGCCCAGGAGAGCTGCGCCCCAGGCAGAAGATGAGCGCCTCAGCCCCAGGGGCAGCAGCTGCTCTTCCTGCTGTGACTCCACCTATCAGAGCCCAGCAGACTTCCATGCCACCTTCCTGCCCCTGCAGGGGGAGGGGTCCCCCCAAGCCCCACGGTGCGCCAACCCTCACACGCACAGCTTTGGCCACCACCGCGCAGCTCCTCAGAGCCTCCTCTCAGCTGCTTTGCCTGATACGTGTGCGTCCTGACCCAGTCGTGAGGGCAGGGGCCACCTCCTCCCACCCGTGTCTCCCCCAGCCATGCCTTGCAGAGCACAGATCCCAGGTGCAAGTTAGTCAGGGCAGACCCACTCATACACACACAGGGCTCAGAAACATGGCGGCCCCGTGCCTGGGGGGCTGGGGAGGGGGTCACTCACTGCAGGGACCAAAGTATGGGAGGCCCACCTGTGGTGGGAAGCCCGCCGGCTGGGAGGCCCAGGGCACTGCTCCACCTCACGGGTACAGGCTTCCCCCGCCCCAGGCTGAAGGCAGCCCCTCTGGGAAGGACAGTGCCTTGGCACCCTAGATGCCCCCGGTGGGTGGGCAGGCCTGAGCTTGGATGGCCGAGCAGCCCACTAGGTCCCCGAGCCTAGGGAAGGACCCAGTGTTCGCTCACAGAGGGCGCCGTGTCCCAGGCAGACAAGCATCCTGAGCTCAGCCATTCCCAGAGGACTTACCCGAATACCTGCGGGGCTCCCTGCCCCCCACGCCTGCTTGGGCCCTGTGCCCTTTGTGGCTCCACTTCATGGCTTCAAGCCCCCCAGACCCAGCCTGCCCTTCTCCTCACTCTGGGCCCACCTCAGCAGGGCACACCTAGGGAAGTGGGGTGCCAACCCAGAGAATGCCCCACAGCACCTGGGGGCCTGTAAGCAGCCACATGGGTGCTCAGCCACTTGGACCAGGGAGGCTCTGGCCAGGGCTGCCACGGGATCCCTAGAAGTTCTGATCAGACGTAACAGGGCCGGGGGATTCCTGGAAAAGGGAACATGCTCAACGGTGCAGCCACGTCACTAGTACAAGAGACGGGAGTGCAGTGATGCAGACACTGGGGGCAGGACAACATTCGGGGGAGGGGGAGACCAGGCCCAGAGAGGAGAAGCCATCGCTGCCTCCTCCCTGGCCTGTGCCACCAGGCAACCGGCCGGACAGCAGTCCCAGCAGGCTGAGGGACGCAGGCTGAGGGACAGGACGCGAGTTCCCCCAGCGACCGCAGTGCAGCCCCACAGTGCCCCCTGGCGGCTGACGGTCCCGGTCCCGGGGGCAAGTGCAGGCAGGAAGCGGCCCCTCGGCCAGCGGCCCTGGGAGCCAGGAGCATTGCCCGACCTGACTTCATAAAGATGGTGGGACCTCATACCCTGGTCCCTCTCCCTCTTGAACGCCACTAGTTCCAGCACGCTACCCATCCTGTGACAACAGATACAATTTTCTCCCTCCCATAGTGTCTAATTTTTGCATTTTGAGGATTTCAAAGAGAATTATCAAACCACAACATCTCCAAAACATTATCACATATTCAAGGGGCCAGTGCCTTTCCTGGCATTCAGTAACTTGTTCTCTATTTGGATAATTTCTGTAGACTAAAAACGAGTGGCTCTAGGCCCTCAGGCCGGAACATGTCTGTAGAGGTTAGGTGGGGCCCAGACGTGACCCTCTGACCTTAGCTTACTCCTGTGAGGGAGCCGAACCCCTATACGCCAACAGGAACTACATGGAAGACGTGTAAGCGAGCTGATAAACGGCCTATTCCTCAGCAATGCCCCTTTACAATACAGTCGGTTAAAACGACCGCATGCTTTGAATGGGTCACAAAGGAGGCAAAGGGGGACTGAGTCACTGCCGGACACCCAGCACGCAGCAGCCCCAGGGTGCGGGGCGGTTACCTCCTCGATTCCAGGTCTTCAGGCAGCCACTCTGAGAGCTTCTTGTGTTTAACTGGTTTCCACCCAACAACAAATTCGCCACGTGCAAAACCACTTGGTCAACGAAATCCCGAGGGAGGGCAGCACAGTTCCTCGGGCACTCAGCTTTTTCTCTGGGGTGAAATCCGGTCAGCCAGGGTCCTTCCGGCCGGGCCTCCACCCCTGGCTCGGCGCCCCCAGCTCTGTGGCCGTCAGGGTGACCAGTACCGCCCGCGGCAGCTGGCGGGGGAGGAGCAGGCCCCTTGCCAGGGCAGTTCCCGGGGCAGCACTGTCGGCCGTTAATGTACTGGGTTCTCTGCGCATCGACGAGAACTTCTTGGGAGGGCGGGTATGTTCTCGATTTCCCAAGGAGACACACCTGCATTTGGAGAGAGGGACGTGAGCGCCTTGGCCGGCTCCTGCGACACTTCACCGCTCTCCACGGAACTCTCCTGTTCTGGCGTGCAAGTCACCTAAGTTCTAGAAAGCTATCATGAAAGAATCCTTATTTTAAAAACTAATACCAACATAAATGACTTAAAAAAAAAAGACTAACAGCAAAAGTCCATGAAAAATCTCATTGCTGAGGCTTCCCAAGATAACATGCACATCGGGTCCACATTACTGAGATTCCTGCGCCATTCTACACACTCCCTCATGTCAGCCTTGTTCACACCCACCTCCGTCTCTCATGCACCCCCGGATGGTGACCCTGAGAGCTCTCAAAGTGAGAATCTTCCCACCAACCTTGCCAGAGCCAGGGAGGCATGTGCAGACTCATTTCCTTCTCGTACACCCAGAGGCTCCCTGCAGGAGCCCCTGGGAGAGTGAGGCCCAGTCCAGCAACACTGCCCTGAGCACAGCACTTCTGACTTCCTCCCTGGCCATTAACTACAAAGCCAGGTCACAGACAATGAAAGCAAGCGAACCTAATCATATCCGAGCCACCACTTCCTGCTCCCCAGCTCTGCCACTGATGCATGTGTGATCTGGGACAGGTGACAACTTCCCCGCATGGCTGACCTGTGACCAGTCCTCACTAAACATGACTCCTGGTCTGACCCCAAAATATCCAGTGGCTGTAAGAAAGCTGAGGCTCAGAGAGATCACGGCCTAGCCCAGGTGCCCAACCAGCAATGGAATGAACGCAGAAGTCAAGCCAGCTGCATCCTTATCCCCACCTACGTGACCCAAACTCTAGCCATTTTCAAGTCAGCGCCGACCTCAGGAGACCATGCCTTGCCAAAGGACAGGGAGGGCACTTAGAGAGCAGCATGAGGGCCCCGAGGCCAAGCCCTGCAGGAGGTTCCCAAACAACACTGAGCAGGGCCGGCGGTGCTGCGCCTGTGCCTGGCGTGCCGCGGGCCCGGTCCCTTCCGCGGCGAGCACCTGCCGGAAGACACCGCCCCACACAGTCCTCACGGTCTTCCAGCCGAGCCAAGGAGAGCTGCTCCTCCCCACCCGGCAGACCAGGACACGGCTGCAAGGCGGTGGCAGAGCCAAGGGCTGAGCCATCTGTCACCCTTTTCACTGCGTGCAGCCATCCAGCGGGTGATCTGGGTTGGACAGGATCTAGGTTTTGTCTTTCAAAAAGAGCACATGGCAACTACGGAGCCTCCCAGAAGAAAGCAGAGACAGTGTGAGCTGATGTCAGTCCTTCCCAGGACGCTTCCCATGGGCCAAGCCTGGGCAGCACTGGGCGGGAAGGCCTCCCTCTCGGCCCTGAGCACCAGCAGTCTCAAGGACACGCTGGAAGCTTCCAGAGACTGTGCAAGCGTCAATTTCCACCCACCCACACTACAGTTCAGGCAAATCTGAACAAAGGAAGCTTTTAATGAAAAAACTTGGAATCCTTTTTAACTTCTGCAACAAATTTTACTTCCAGCTAATTATTTGGGAATCCAAGGAGTCAGAATTCAGAGCGTTCAGCCTCAGACAACACGAGGGTTGGGAACTTCTACACAAGCAAAGTGGACCCCTACCCTGGAAAGCCCCGGGGCCACTTGTAGTTTCTGGAAAGGAAACCGAGACCTGGTGAGGGTCCTTGCAGCACCACCCCAGGCCTGGAGAAGAAGTGCCGGAAGGCCTCCAAAAGAGGGGCCGCACGGACAGAACAGGCCTCTGAGGCCCGCGACGGCCGAGACGCTGGCCTCCGCACGGGCGCCTCTGGGACACTCCCCGTCTCGGGCGCCGCAGCGTCTCCCGGCCCCGGGCCCCGGCCCCGCGCTGTCCGCCCGAACGCCGGCCCGGCCCGGAGGGACGCACCCTCTTGGTCGAGGGGATCCTCAGGCAGTCCTCCTCCACGTGGAAGCCGCACGCCACGCCCACTTCCTCGACGAAATCGACGTACTCCCGGTACTGCGTCTTGGCGCTCTGCCTCCGGCGGTACTTCCCCGCGAAGTCGAAGAAGCAACAGGGGAGAAGGAAGAAGCGGCAGCTGTAGGAGGACCTTCGGGGGGACCCACACCCCCGCGTTTCCCGGCGTCACAAAGAGGCCTCGGCAGAAAGCCACGTGGCAACCGCGTATCGGGGTAAAATATACATGTCCGCTGCTGGATGATTTTGTTTTCTATATAAAAAGGTGAATTAGGGGCTCTCCTGTCCCGTCCTGGCGTGAGCCGGGAGCTCTGTCCTTTCACTTTATCTCTAAACACTTTATCTCTGTACCTTGCTCTCCTAACAACAACAAAAAAGGTGAATTACTGCCCTCCCCAATTTAATTTTAGAAATAATACATCTTTTCAACAAAATATGAATTTACCTTTACAAAAAATATTTTTCCATGGCAGTTAATTCTTGTCAACAATAACCACCACTTCCTGAAGTGCTCTGAGGTTTTAGTGGTGAATTTCAGAGGTGGGCACAACAAAGCCTAAGTTTCCTCCTGACTCCGCTACACCTGGAGAGCTGAAGCCGTTCTAAGGAACCCTGGAGAGAGCACACTTGGCAACACAACAGGCTGCGGCAGCACCGTAACCTGCACCTTGATGGATACGAGAGCTTACGCCGTCCCTGGGAGGTGCGCACAGCTTCCACCGAAAGGACACCATCGCTGCGAGAATCTCTATACCGGCAGGGCTTTCCTCTGAAGGCAAACCCTCCTATCAGAAAAACCTCCCCAGAAATGACACACCTTTCAATGCTGATAGGTATCACAGAAGTGACAGAATTTCAGTTAGCACTGTCCAACAGAAATATCATGTGGACAACATACGTAACTCTGTATTATCCAGTAGCCATATTTTAAATAGTAAAATAAAACAGGTGGAACTTATTTTAAATTTAACCCAATACATTCAGTATATTATCATTTCAACAATCTGAACAAGCTACATTTCGAATGCTCAGTCATCGCAAGCAGCTGGTTTTGGACAGGGAGGTTTAGGTTACGAAACATCCCCAGCCATTCACAGGCCAACTTCTCCACTGACTCACCTGGCTGCAATGACGGGTATCCACGGTGTTAGTTCATCAGAATGGTTGCCTATTAACCAATCAACATCAGGGAAAAGGGTCTTATCATTTGGCGTGATTGCACCTTCCTAAAAGAAAACACAAACAAGACTGAGTGTTCAGTAAATAAACAGAGAGCCACTGAGGCAGCCAGGCGGGGCAGGAGGGCGAAGGCCCTGCAGAGGCAGAGCTTGCTGCCCCAGCCCTCATCTCAGCACCCTGGGCTTCTCCTGTAAAAGGCAGAGGAGTCCGCTGTGAGCAGACAGTAATGCTGCGTGGCATCTCTAAACCGAAAGGTTTTCCCTCTGAAGGCAAATCCTCCTACCATCAGAAAAAACTTCCAAAAAATGACACACCTTTCAATGCTGGATACACCTTCAATTAGCACCGCCTAACAGAACTATCACGTGGGCCACATGCATCTCCAGGGCCGGGACCAAAGTGAAGGCACCTGGCTCCACGTCTGCCCGGAGGCCTTGAAATACTGGCAACTTCCAGCATCACCACCAGAGAGGCCAGCAGCTCCCTGAGTAACAGAAACGTGCTCCTTCACTGAGACTTACAAAGGAGCTACCAGAGACGGGACACAGGAACCATTTCACCTTTGGCAGAACATGGGCATAAGAAATGGCCCTAAGTGTGGGTAGGTGGAAAGCAGCAACGTCTGAAGCTGATTTAAAACCTCAGAAGTCCTTCAATCTCCATGATGAAGTGTATTTATGGAAAGAGAAGAGGAATTTACATATACAAGTTTGCGTAACTCTTTTTGCTATTTGGATCTAGGTTTTGTCTTTCAAAAAGAGCACATGGCAACTACGGAGCCTCCCAGAAGAAAGCAGAGACAGTGTGAGCTGATGTCAGTCCTTCCCAGGACGCTTCCCATGGGCCAAGCCTGGGCAGCACTGGGCGGGAAGGCCTCCCTCTCGGCCCTGATCACCAGCAGTCTCAAGGACACGCTGGAAGCTTCCAGAGACTGTGCAAGCGTCAATTTCCACCCACCCACACTACAGTTCAGGCAAATCTGAACAAAGGAAGCTTTTAATGAAAAAACTTGGAATCCTTTTTAACTTCTGCAACAAATTTTACTTCCAGCTAATTATTTGGGAATCCAAGGAGTCAGAATTCAGAGCGTTCAGCCTCAGACAACACGAGGGTTGGGAACTTCTACACAAGCAAAGTGGACCCCTACCCTGGAAAGCCCCGGGGCCACTTGTAGTTTCTGGAAAGGAAACCGAGACCTGGTGAGGGTCCTTGCAGCACCACCCCAGGCCTGGAGAAGAAGTGCCGGAAGGCCTCCAAAAGAGGGGCCGCACGGACAGAACAGGCCTCTGAGGCCCGCGACGGCCGAGACGCTGGCCTCCGCACGGGCGCCTCTGGGACACTCCCCGTCTCGGGCGCCGCAGCGTCTCCCGGCCCCGGGCCCCGGCCCCGCGCTGTCCGCCCGAACGCCGGCCCGGCCCGGAGGGACGCACCCTCTTGGTCGAGGGGATCCTCAGGCAGTCCTCCTCCACGCGGAAGCCGCACGCCACGCCCACTTCCTCGACGAAATCGAGGTACTCCCGGTACTGCGTCTTGGCGCTCTGCCTCCGGCGGTACTTCCCCGCGAAGTCGAAGAAGCAACAGGGGAGAAGGAAGAAGCGGCAGCTGTAGGAGGACCTTCGGGGGGACCCACACCCCCGCGTTTCCCGGCGTCACAAAGAGGCCTCGGCAGAAAGCCACGTGGCAACCGCGTATCGGGGTAAAATATACATGTCCGCTGCTGGATGATTTTGTTTTCTATATAAAAAGGTGAATTAGGGGCTCTCCTGTCCCCTCCTGGCGTGAGCCGGGAGCTCTGTCCTTTCACTTTATCTCTAAACACTTTATCTCTGTACCTTGCTCTCCTAACAACAACAAAAAAGGTGAATTACTGCCCTCCCCAATTTAATTTTAGAAATAATACATCTTTTCAACAAAATATGAATTTACCTTTACAAAAAATATTTTTCCATGGCAGTTAATTCTTGTCAACAATAACCACCACTTCCTGAAGTGCTCTGAGGTTTTAGTGGTGAATTTCAGAGGTGGGCACAACAAAGCCTAAGTTTCCTCCTGACTCCGCTACACCTGGAGAGCTGAAGCCGTTCTAAGGAACCCTGGAGAGAGCACACTTGGCAACACAACAGGCTGCGGCAGCACCGTAACCTGCACCTTGATGGATACGAGAGCTTACGCCGTCCCTGGGAGGTGCGCACAGCTTCCACCGAAAGGACACCATCGCTGCGAGAATCTCTATACCGGCAGGGCTTTCCTCTGAAGGCAAACCCTCCTATCAGAAAAACCTCCCCAGAAATGACACACCTTTCAATGCTGATAGGTATCACAGAAGTGACAGAATTTCAGTTAGCACTGTCCAACAGAAATATCATGTGGACAACATACGTAACTCTGTATTATCCAGTAGCCATATTTTAAATAGTAAAATAAAACAGGTGGAACTTATTTTAAATTTAACCCAATACATTCAGTATATTATCATTTCAACAATCTGAACAAGCTACATTTCGAATGCTCAGTCATCGCAAGCAGCTGGTTTTGGACAGGGAGGTTTAGGTTACGAAACATCCCCAGCCATTCACAGGCCAACTTCTCCACTGACTCACCTGGCTGCAATGACGGGTATCCACGGTGTTAGTTCATCAGAATGGTTGCCTATTAACCAATCAACATCAGGGAAAAGGGTCTTATCATTTGGCGTGATTGCACCTTCCTAAAAGAAAACACAAACAAGACTGAGTGTTCAGTAAATAAACAGAGAGCCACTGAGGCAGCCAGGCGGGGCGGGAGGGCGAAGGCCCTGCAAAGGCAGAGCTTGCTGCCCCAGCCCTCATCTCAGCACCCTGGGCTTCTCCTGTAAAAGGCAGAGGAGTCCGCTGTGAGCAGACAGTAATGCTGCGTGGCATCTCTAAACCGAAAGGTTTTCCCTCTGAAGGCAAATCCTCCTACCATCAGAAAAAACTTCCAAAAAATGACACACCTTTCAATGCTGGATACACCTTCAATTAGCACCGCCTAACAGAACTATCACGTGGGCCACATGCATCTCCAGGGCCGGGACCAAAGTGAAGGCACCTGGCTCCACGTCTGCCCGGAGGCCTTGAAATACTGGCAACTTCCAGCATCACCACCAGAGAGGCCAGCAGCTCCCTGAGTAACAGAAACGTGCTCCTTCACTGAGACTTACAAAGGAGCTACCAGAGACGGGACACAGGAACCATTTCACCTTTGGCAGAACATGGGCATAAGAAATGGCCCTAAGTGTGGGTAGGTGGAAAGCAGCAACGTCTGAAGCTGATTTAAAACCTCAGAAGTCCTTCAATCTCCATGATGAAGTGTATTTATGGAAAGAGAAGAGGAATTTACATATACAAGTTTGCGTAACTCTTTTTGCTATTCTGCTCTTGTCTTCTGTAAACTCTCAGATGGAAGTAAAAACCCACTGAAAAGGCGTTCTGCTGATTTCTGTAGTTGAGTGAGACACACTTGCTTTACGATCCAAGAACTTGCAATGAACACCAACCTCTGTGTCAACAGCAGGCCATCGCTCGTTACTGAACTCACTAAGCTCAACAGTCCATCTGTCAGTCAAAACTATGCAAGATGCTGTCCGTCTTCAAACTGAGGAAAGAATGCCCGACAGTAAGCGGGAGTGTCACCCTCAGGGAGGGCGCTACGACACTTTTCAGGGTCTTCCCTCATAAACAACGCAACCACAAGACTCTTCTGCAGACATGACATACACAGAAAGAGAACCCAACTTCTACAATTATTCTGGTTCTTAAATTGAGTACATACTCTTCTATTTACGTATAAAATACTGAAAATAGTATTGCTCAAATAGTCAAAGCATAACTTCAAAGCAGGAAAAACAAACCTTTGATATCATTTATTCTTTATTTCTTCCCAGTCCGGATTTAAATTTGCCTCCCTTTAAATGGCCTTTATTAGTAAGTTTGCACATGTGAGCGCCATGATCACATTCACATCACCTTGCCAGCAGCACTAGATAACAAAGCCCTCCTGCTGTACGCAGTTCTGGCACCCTGGGTACAGCAAATGGCGATACTCCCATTTCATACACAGATTCACAAACAGAACTAAGCCACTTTGTGATCAGCACAATACTGTTTTCAAAACGTGTTTTTTCCTAATTGTCTCTTGCTTACAATCAAATGCTTTTGAAAAAAAGCAGTCATCTCCTACACTTGGCCTATGATGTCCAGATTGAACCTACTCATGGAAATCACTCATTTACTGGGAAACACCCAAATCACGACCTTGCCAACACAAGCAGGCTGTCCAGCCACGTCCCAGGCAGGTGCAGCAGAACAAGGAAGCATCCACCCTTGTAATTAGCCCTCGATGAGCAGGGCTCCAAGGAACTACGACCAAAGGCTCACGTGTCATGGGAGACACGAGACACTGAACACGGAGCTCTCGTTAGCAGGCCTGAGGAGCTGGGGTAGAGGTCCCAAGTCCACAGAAAGATCTGAGGCGAGCTGCTGGGCACCATCAAATCAAGACCTAGAGCCTTACACCCATTCTCCAGGGGGCGCCTCATGCCGGAGGCTCTTCCCCAGGCTCGCGACGTGAGCAGAGGGCTGGGTCAAGTGCTGTCTGAACTGCTTACCCAAAGAAATTAATTTGCTTTGTCACAAACAAAGGGCAACAGGGAAGCCTGTAACCCACCACGTTACTCCTTTTGTTCCAGACATCAGCCTCTACCTAAACTCAGCCCGGCTGCAACAGTGTAGTGGCTCATCTGCATGCACACCTACCCATGCACCTGCTTCGATGACTTCAAACCGGAGACTTAAAAGGTCTTAACTTATGATGTATGAGCATATAAGCAAATGCAAATTCCTGGACCATAAAAGACAACATAATTTAAAAAATAGTGAAGAGCTGTCAGGCAGCTACAATGATCTTCCCTTCCTTTAGTCTCTTTAAAAATATCTGCATTATTCTTCTCAACTCTAAAAGAAAATGAGAGAGAATATATAAAAAGTCTCAACTTTATTTTCTATTTACAGATGAATACCTAAGATTTGTTTCAAAATAACCGTGGGGCCACCGCTGGCCAGCGAGATACAGAACCATCGCTGGAGCTGGCCGCTGCGGCGCTGTGGTTCATCATGCTCTTCTCTCCACCTTTGTGTATTCTTGACATTTTGCATAATGAAAAGTCAGATTCTTTACATTTCTCAAGACAGCATTCTGCCCTCTGTTGGGCAGGAAACTGTCCTAGTCGCAGCAGGCACTGCAACCCCGGGACAAAGGTTCGGAGGCACCCCAGGCACCTGAGCAGCAGAAGCTGGGGGTGGGGAGGCTGGCTGCACCCACAGGACCCACTAGCCGTGTACGTGGACCCCACTGCTGACTGCCCCCCTGCTGCCCTGGAGGCCTCGAAGGAGAGCAACACCTGTGAAGATGGCACTGGCCCTGGGGTGGGTGCTGGTGGGGAGAGGGGCACCCCGCAGCTGCACAGGGCATAGGCGCGCACGCAACCGCTCCTGCACCCAACTCCCGGCCCACCTTCTCCCGCTCGAGGCCCCCTGGCCTCCTTACAGTGCAGGCCCTGCCCTCCCCACCCAGCTGAGGCTCCTTGCTGCTTGGCGCTCACAGCCACCTGCCACACACCCACTTGTGTATGTGTCTGTCCCCCTCCCCCACCCCCATTTGTCACTGTTGAGGCATCAGCACCTAAGAGAATGTCTGCCAGGTAATAAGCATTAAAATATTTGGTAAATATGTGACTGTTTTTTCTGTTCTTTTTTAATGCATCTTATGGCATTCAAAATTATTCCTGAAGTGAAAGTATATTTCAAGTAAAATACTTCTGAAAACCATATGACAGTATTATGAAAACCCTTTTAAAATTCAGCTTATGAAAAGATGTGTTCTACAGTGGACTAGCATTTACAGTGTAATTTGTCTTCTGAGAACAGGTGGTGAGGGAAAGAAGGAAAAGAAGGGAAAGAAGGAAAGGTGATGACCGCCCCCACCCCGTCCCTACGGCTCCACCTCTCCGTGGCCTGGGGCCCCCACCTACACCAGGGGCCGCGGGACGGTCGCAGAACGTCAGCACACGTAAGACCCTGGGGGAAGCCAGCTCTCGGCTCAGCACCTGCCAGCACCCCAGGAGCCGGGACAGCGTCGTTGTGAGTGACTCCATGGACCATCACTCTAACTTTAGAAGCAGTGTTTACAGACACCTGCTAACGGCTTTGGAAAATGCTGAGGATGGGACGTTAATAAGCAACAACCAGAGTCAAGATCCTACATGCAGCATGGTCACAAATGAAGCGTGTTCATGTCCTTGAGTTTAAAATAGTGATCCCTTCTGGGAAGGAGTCATAAAAAAAACAAGGACATCCTATCCAACTTCTAGCAAGAGGGCACATGAGGGCTACCAACTGACAGGAAGACTCCCACGGGTCCCAGAGCCTCAGGGGCCGCTCCCCCTCCCGCCTGCACAGTGCTGTGAGGGGGGACGGGGCAGGTGGGCATCTCGACTCCAAACCGAGCTCCTAGCCACTTGCCCCTGAAGATGCCGTTCTGTGAGGGGCTCTCAGAGCCCCTCTTCCAGGTTCCCTTAACCCACAAACCTCCTGGGCGCCAGGACTGGCATGGCACCATGCTTCACAGCTCTTCTGTGTGGGCCCCAGATGCGTCCTCCTAAAAGGCTGCCAGGGAGCCCCTTCTCCAGCCAGGTCCTGGCAGTGCGGGTCCCTGCTGCTCAGTGGTACCTGAACAAGCGTCCTGGCGTAGCACCAGGGAAGATGCAGAGAGCAAGGTCCGTCCCCACCCGCAGGCAGCGAGGAGCACGGGGGAGGCCCAGGGCCTGCACACCCAGCTCCTCTGGCACCAGCGTCAGCATCGTGTTCTCAGCCCAACCAGAAGGTCCTACAGTCTGCCGGCTCATCTTTCCCTTCAAACTTCAGAGCACTTTGAATAATGTGCATGTGTGGTCAGCCCTTCTGACCAGCCAATGCACAGATGCTCATTCAAACAGCCGCCAGGGGATAGCCATGCTGAGATCAGATGAGCAAACAGAGCCAGTACCTCTAAGTGAGTCTGTGGGCCGTACATGTCCCAGATTTTTCTTCTTCGGACATCGATCCCTCTGCCTGGATGCTGAAATAATTACATTCAGAAATCAAAGGTTAAGTTCAGTACATCGTAATTTAGCAAGAACAAATTAAACTCTACAGGAATCGCCACCAGTGTGAAGTCCGAGACCCTCAGCACACACGGATGGTATCAGCAGCTCCCAGCTATTGAAGTAGACACTTGCACCCCCATGAGGAAAGGTGAGAGCCCAAGTCCGCTAATAGTGTGAGCCTTCAAGAAGGGGGACGGAGTCGAGCGTGGGGGCTTCTCCAGGGCTGGCGTCCTAGGAAACATGCCTGGAAAGGGAGCCGGCTCTCTCAGCTCTCGGAAACATCTGCTCTGCCACCCTGCCGACCGAGACGAGCCCTGACCCGGCACTCTGTGACCTCCCTTGTTAGCTCTCACAGGGCAACTGGGGTCACATCCAAGTCGGGGGGAGGGGTGCATGGAACACCCTCCTCCTCCCCCGTCATCTCCACCTACCAGCTTGCAGGCCCCACCTGATGCGCTGACACTCCAACCTGTTTACAGGTATTGCAAACGCAGACTCACTCTTTCACAAAGCCAGTTCAGAAAGTACATCACCAACCCCATTTCACTTTCCTACAGCTGTGGATAAATATGTCTATCTCATAGGGTGGAATGCTACGGCCAGAAGAAACTCAGCCTTGGGGTCACCTGACTGGGCTCCAAATCCCCACAGAGGCTGTCAAGGCCCAGGTGGCCAGGCAGGTGACAGAAGAGTGGCACTAACAGCAGACCCCCACAGGAAGGCTGAGATGGCAGATGGCACCAGGCGCAGGCGCCTTCTGCTCAGCCAACTGCTCCAGAGTGCCAGGCGGGCGCTAAGCACCTTGTCTTCACTTCGCTAACCAGAAAATGGGTGTAAACACCAGCTCTGAGGTTTTATGTCATGTTATGCATAAGTGCACAGCTGTCCTCTGGACTAGCACGAAAGCACTTGAACCCACCGCGCCCTTTATTCCTACCAGGGAGGGCTTCCCAACGAAAATATCTGAGCAAAAACACCCATGCTGCTGAAAGCTGGTCACTTCATAGGCACATGGGACACGTGCCTCAGATGTCCTCTTCCACCCAATAGGAGCAAAGCGTTTTCCCGCCTGTTCCACACGCTGCCTGTTCTACAAAGGAACACGGCCTGTACTGAGACACTGTTCAGACAGCCAGGCCAACTGGGAGTCCAGATGGTGCCGGCTGAAACAGACCTCAGTGAACCCCGTGCAGAACCTGACACTCTAAAAAGGTTCCAGAAACAGCCATGGAACCATGCTTACCCCCTCACTGCTCAGGATGTGGACCAGGAGGCCATTTCCGCATCCTAAGTCAACAAAGGACTGCTTGGCCACCACTCCCCGCTCAGCTCTTTCTTGTTCCCACAGAATCTAAGTAAAGAGAAAAAAGTGTGTGATTCACTCTGCGCATGTGGGATTACAAATTACAGTTCCAGAACAAGCGGAGAAGGGACCTCCTCGGAGGCTGAGCTTCGGCACAGGTGATGCGCAGGTGAGCAGAGGGGGTTGGGCCCAGCCCACAGCTCCTGTCTGATGCTCGGTGGGCTAACAGAACTTTCTTCTGGTATAAAGCAAGGGCTTTATAAAGTTAGCTCCTTCATGCTTTCTCTATACTCTTCAAGTTTTACACACTTAGTCTTTTCAGATACAGCATTATTTTGTTTTGATTCAGAGAATTACAGCTGAAAGGAAATTGGGAATCATCTAAACATTTTACATCTAAGAAAATCAATACTATCAAGTTAAAGGAAAGGCCTGGAACCAGAAACACCAAATACTAAGATTGGAAAGCACATGCATGACAGGTGGGCACCCACCTAGCTCCCAAATGCCAACCAGCCTCTCCACATTGACTACTGATGATGGAAGACTGGCTCAGCTTGGCTTTCCGCGGCTCAGTGTCACAATTCAAATGTGTTCCACCCTCACACAAAAGCACCATGCAAGGTTAACAAAAGCTGTTACATGTGCAACCAACCTCGGCCAACAGCACGGTGAACACCCTGACTATGGACTTGGTAAGTGTTGTTCACTACGGTCCACCTACCAGGAGCAACGCTGCCCCACTCCACACAACCTCGGATTGTCATGTACATTCTTACCAGCAGGTAGGCAGCAATAGCCACATCTTCATACACAAACTTCTCAGGATCAGTTACTTCAGGCCACACCTAAAACAGTTCAAGGGCACATGTAAGCTGTTCTCCCATCTCCCACCATTTCACAATAGTTAAAGTATCCCCATAAGGTGTAAGTCAAACTGGACTAATTGTGCAATAAAATTTTAAAAATTAGCTCATTCCAAAGGCAGAAATTCACATCAGCCTCTTCTAACAAAGAGATCTGCATAAGACACACACAGTGTTACCATATCCGCATGTGATAGGGCGCATCAAGAGCCATGGAGGCCAAAGCAAGATCTTGCAATAAAGTCAACGTACGTTTGACACTTAGATGAGGCCGCGGACGCCAGAGGAAAATGCTCAGCTACACTTCCCTCACTGTTTACCTAGATGAGGACAGACAAGGAGACGCAGGGCGAGGGAGGCGAGGGGACAGGAGTCAGGGGGCCAGCTGCAGCCTTTGGGTCTGGTGACCATGCCACCCTCGACAGGAGAGGCACTCGGCAGTATGCCCCCGTCGCCCTATCTGTAAGGCAGGGATAGAGCCCAGAGGTCAGGCCTTTGCGGCCACACAGGATGAGCACGAGGTGCTTTTAAATGAAAACACTGGCCACGTAGGTGTGAGGTCTTGAAATTACAATGTGCAGAACGGGCATTTGGCGGAGGGGAAGACCCAGTGGCGGCGCTCAGCGCTCACATTTCTGTCTCTAGCCACAGGGGACCGGACAGTCCAGATGAACCACCTCACTAGGGACAATTTCAAAAGCTGAAAAAACAGAAGTCCCTTCTTGAAGGTACTGGACAGCTAACAAGATCAGTTAACTGCTAGGCCAGGATCTGGGAGAGAGGGGCGGCCCGGCCCAAGTCTGCCGAGCCAGGATCCAGAGACACTTCAGCACAAGTGAGCGGTCACTGTCCCGAGCGTGTGCATCCTGGTTGGCCTCGTTCCACAGCACCAGGTGCCTGACGAAGAGTCTGTGGAAATGAGGAGTGCTGGTGGCTTCTTGGGGGAGGGGGTGCAGATGTGAACTAGGGAGAATGCAAAGGAGGTGCAACTGTGTGAGTGCTGCTTTCCTTCCTAGGCTGAGTGTGAACCCACAGGCCTCGTGTAAGATGCAAAGATAAGGACATGTTATGAAATGTATCTCCTTTTTGAGAATATTTTCTTTCATTCTGTAATTTTTCATATATTTTCTTAAAATACACTTAAGTTCATAATAAAGAATTACGGCAATTTAGTAATTAACATCCAATTATTTCAAATTAAATATTTCCCTTTTGCTCTCTTGGAAAGAATAACTAATGTGCAAACAAACACAGTACTTTCCTGTAAATATCTGCGACGCTTTGTGGCACGCACCCGAGTATCAGGGTACACACAGCCCGCGATGGGAGACCCTGCGTGGGTGCGTTTTGACGCGATGTCTGCATCTGTATGAACTGGAAGGTGCACAAGAAAGCCAATTCTACCTGGCACAGTTTGGCCATGCTGCCTCGTGTAAACGGGGGGAATCAAGGATTTTTCCCTAGAATTACCTTGACCAGGCCTTTGTACTTCTCCTTAAGCTCCTGGTAGGCCTTGCTGTACTTGGAGATGGAAATGAGGGACAGGGAGTTCTTGAACCCACTCCTCCTCCTCTCCACAGACCACCTGGCCAACTTCACCACCAGGTCTCCTCCAAGCCAGGTGGACGTAGGATAAACAATTCCATCTGAATGCCATCTTTCTGGACAGAAAATTAAAACAGATATGAACCTTTAAAAATAAGAGAAATATGAGTAAGCAGAGCTTGTTTCAATTCTTGTTTTTAAGTTAAATGCTTATTATCCAAAAGAAAAGAAAAATTAAGACAGCTACAAGTACAAAACAGTTGACCCAAAACACAAAACGATCTGAAACTAATTGTAGGATTCTCATCAAATAGAGAAAGGCACATTTTAAAAGCCAAAATAATTCCTCTTTTCCTGCAAATATTGTTAAATGTGTTTACACATCCTATGATGGACAAGTAACAATTCTTCTCACCTTCTGCCTCAGGCACTGATGAGCCAGCTTCTAAATGCCTAAGGATTGCCCAGACATTTGTTTTTCCTAAACTTTCACATGTGCAACTCAAATGTGAGTATACAGGGCACCACGATACTTTTAAGACATTCACTGGCCAGGAGGTTCAGTGCTCAGCACAAAGCTGAGGGCACCAACAGTCCCTGGGGCAGTTTATGGGTTCACTGTCGGGGGTGTACCTTCAGCCACCAGAAGGCAGCGAGGCCTTGGCCCTCATGTGTTCTGCCCCTGCTCTACCCTGGTGCCCACCAGTCCCTGGTCCCCAGCAGATCCACACTGCTGTGCTGAGTAAGTGAACAGAAGCTCAACACCCGCGGGCTCAGATCAGGATGATATACTCCCCAGGAAGGCAATTCAGGCAGCATGAGGAAGGGGGGGTAGCATCCAGCTTTTGGGGCAGAGAAGGCTACAGAAACAGAGACAGTGTTCAGTGGGGCCCCTAAGAATGAGCAGAAGCACGGGCAGCTGCATGAGGGGCACAGAGCTGAAGGCAGGCCAGGGCACAGGGAAAACTGGCCAGCCGCTCTCATGAGACACGGTGGTTTTTGCCACCACGTGCTGCAGAAGGACACAACTCACTCATCTAAGTAACAGGCACCAGCTCCCCCCGGGAGACACACTCAGGGCGGTCACAATGTGGCCAGAGGCTGGGAAGGACTCTGGATGGTCACCTTTCCAGTCCCTTCACCCCAGAAGTTATCCTGCTGGGGCTGACTCAGCTCGGCAGGCCCCTTCCCCGCTGGTCCCTGGGCCTCATGTTCGTCCCCAGGTGTCCCCAGTGGTCCCATGGCCCCTCATCCTCTCAGGCCCCCTCCTCAGGCCCCCATCCACCCTACATACACTGGGCACATGGCCTCTGCTAATGGGGGGCATGGGAACAGAGACCTGTCTCGCCTGCTTTATTTCTTTTCATGGTACTTAGCACCGCCTGGCCGTAGAGCATGTATTTATGTGTCTCCCCCATGAGATCTGCTCACCACTATGTGCCCAGTGCTGGTGGGCACACAACCAGTACTGCTGAAATGAAAAGGACTTGCAGCAGCATCCCACCCAAAGTCCACCTGCTTTGCGCTCAACTTAGAATGCAACGCATCAGGCCCACAGGGCCTGGCCAGGGCCCTGGGGGACGCAAGTCACAGCCTCCCAATGCAGCAGGTCAGGAAGAGCCAACCTAGAAGGATGGGGAGCGGGCAGCCGAGCCCCCTCTAAGTTATCAGAGGACAAGGGGTGCTCCAAGGCATCGCCTGTACAGAGTGCCGGCAAGGGCTCTGTGCCCATACGTTCCCAGGACACTCAAGCAGACAGCGTGGCCATCAGCGCCTGCCTAACAGCTCAGGTGTGTGCACCCACTGAACTGACTGCCCTCCCCCAGCAGACACAGCTTCCCAGGGTGTCAGCTTCCCTCCCCACCTGCCAAAAAGAGAACTGCAGCAGGAAAAGGCCTCAGGGTAAGGTTGCTTGGGCAGCCTCTTGACAATTCCAGAGTCCCTGTGAAGCCAAGCCCGGCCCCCTCCTCAGAGGTTCAATAATTAAACCCCTTTCACAGGTAAGAAGACTGAGGGCCACAGAGATGCCGTACCCAAGGTCACGCTGCTAGTGGGGAAACCCAGGTCTTTCTGACTGCAAACCCCAGTCTTCCCATCGTACCCCTTTCTACAAAGCCACGAGCAAAGCCCATTCCATGTCAACAGACACAATCTCCAAGGTTGTAACAGAAAGTATGGACCGGATGTAGCTCTCAGGAGAATAGAAAAAATTTACCCATCCTCTTCTTCACTTAAGAAAATGCCCAATGGAAGTAAACCAAATTTCACACCTCCCTTACAGGCCCAAACAACACATGAAACTAAGGGACTTTATTAAACTGCTATTGTTATAAGTGTCACTAAATGCACATGAGCCTCAGCCAGAAATAAAAAAGGAAGCTCACACTTGCACCCTAGTACCAAGCCGTGAGGCATAACAAAATAATAAAGGGATCTGAGTTTATTTGAATTCAGCAGTAAAACTAGGTTAGTGAACCAGCACTGCATGGAATGTAGGGACTGAAGACTCAGGCCAGGCTGGAAGCACCCAGATGCAGGCCAGGCTCCAACCCGAATAAAGATGCACATGTCACAGAGACCCCTCCTGGGAAGCCCATTCACACAACCTCTAACTGCCTGAGAGAGAAAATACTTTCAGCTCCTCAGCAACCCAGGCCGTTGCAGCCCCCCCCAAAGAATCAGTCATCAGAAACCACAGACATTGACAGAGGTCAGTTTCTAGTCCTTACCATTCTTCTTTGCTGTGACCAAGCTGAATTTGGTAAACGTTGCTCATCTTAACCTTCAAATTCCCTTCGTTATCTTCTTCCAAAGGTAAAAAAGTTACAGTTCCATTGGGGACATCTGGGGGTAAAAAGACAAGGATGACAAATTGGAACCGCTCAGTGCAGTGGCTCACAGAAGCAGTATTCACAACAGCAATGAACCAGCTAGCCGACTTGGATCCCGAGGACTGCCCCCTCTACTCAGAATAGTGCCTCGGGGACAGACACGCCTCCATGCCCTGCTCGCTGAAGGGTCCCCAAGTCCACACCCTCACAGGTCCTTGGGCACATGGCCTCTGCTAATGGGGGGCATGGGAACAGAGACCTGTCTCGCCTGCTTTATTTCTTTTCATGGTACTTAGCACCGCCTGGCCGTAGAGCATGTATTTATGTGTCTCCCCCATGAGATCTGCTCACCACTATGTGCCCAGTGCTGGTGGGCACACAACCAGTACTGCTGAAATGAAAAGGACTTGCAGCAGCATCCCACCCAAAGTCCACCTGCTTTGCGCTCAACTTAGAATGCAACGCATCAGGCCCACAGGGCCTGGCCAGGGCCCTGGGGGACGCAAGTCACAGCCTCCCAATGCAGCAGGTCAGGAAGAGCCAACCTAGAAGGATGGGGAGCGGGCAGCCGAGCCCCCTCTAAGTTATCAGAGGACAAGGGGTGCTCCAAGGCATCGCCTGTACAGAGTGCCGGCAAGGGCTCTGTGCCCATACGTTCCCAGGACACTCAAGCAGACAGCGTGGCCATCAGCGCCTGCCTAACAGCTCAGGTGTGTGCACCCACTGAACTGACTGCCCTCCCCCAGCAGACACAGCTTCCCAGGGTGTCAGCTTCCCTCCCCACCTGCCAAAAAGAGAACTGCAGCAGGAAAAGGCCTCAGGGTAAGGTTGCTTGGGCAGCCTCTTGACAATTCCAGAGTCCCTGTGAAGCCAAGCCCGGCCCCCTCCTCAGAGGTTCAATAATTAAACCCCTTTCACAGGTAAGAAGACTGAGGGCCACAGAGATGCCGTACCCAAGGTCACGCTGCTAGTGGGGAAACCCAGGTCTTTCTGACTGCAAACCCCAGTCTTCCCATCGTACCCCTTTCTACAAAGCCACGAGCAAAGCCCATTCCATGTCAACAGACACAATCTCCAAGGTTGTAACAGAAAGTATGGACCGGATGTAGCTCTCAGGAGAATAGAAAAAATTTACCCATCCTCTTCTTCACTTAAGAAAATGCCCAATGGAAGTAAACCAAATTTCACACCTCCCTTACAGGCCCAAACAACACATGAAACTAAGGGACTTTATTAAACTGCTATTGTTATAAGTGTCACTAAATGCACATGAGCCTCAGCCAGAAATAAAAAAGGAAGCTCACACTTGCACCCTAGTACCAAGCCGTGAGGCATAACAAAATAATAAAGGGATCTGAGTTTATTTGAATTCAGCAGTAAAACTAGGTTAGTGAACCAGCACTGCATGGAATGTAGGGACTGAAGACTCAGGCCAGGCTGGAAGCACCCAGATGCAGGCCAGGCTCCAACCCGAATAAAGATGCACATGTCACAGAGACCCCTCCTGGGAAGCCCATTCACACAACCTCTAACTGCCTGAGAGAGAAAATACTTTCAGCTCCTCAGCAACCCAGGCCGTTGCAGCCCCCCCCAAAGAATCAGTCATCAGAAACCACAGACATTGACAGAGGTCAGTTTCTAGTCCTTACCATTCTTCTTTGCTGTGACCAAGCTGAATTTGGTAAACGTTGCTCATCTTAACCTTCAAATTCCCTTCGTTATCTTCTTCCAAAGGTAAAAAAGTTACAGTTCCATTGGGGACATCTGGGGGTAAAAAGACAAGGATGACAAATTGGAACCGCTCAGTGCAGTGGCTCACAGAAGCAGTATTCACAACAGCAATGAACCAGCTAGCCGACTTGGATCCCGAGGACTGCCCCCTCTACTCAGAATAGTGCCTCGGGGACAGACACGCCTCCATGCCCTGCTCGCTGAAGGGTCCCCAAGTCCACACCCTCACAGGTCCAGGCAGATGGCTGTGGAGAGGAGCTCTGCCTCATCCCCCTCAGGAAAGATGAGCTGCAGATGTAGAAGTCTGCATCCGAAACCCGCGTGGGCCCTGATCCACACACACTCCCCGTCGGGTGGGGGAGAACGTGAAAGGCGATCACTACACATGGACAAGAGGTGGAAGAGCTGGTCTGGGCAGGGCAGGGTCACCTGGGAAGTCTGACAAGGACACAGAGACAAACGGGGCGGGGTGGAGGGTAACACCATGCAGAAATTTAGCACTGCTGTTCGCAGCAGACAGGACAGCCGCCTGACTATACCCACGTCCTGACACCCCGAGCTGTTACATGGCAAAGAGGGCCTCTGAAGACGTTATTAAGGCTACAGGCTTTAGAAGAGGGAGAACAGGCTAAATGAGGCAGGTGGGCTCAATCTAGCCACAGCTGAGAACTTCCTCCAGCCGGTACAGGGCAGTCAGGTCCCAAGCATGAGAAGGACTGGGTGCTGTCTGGCTGTACGATCCAGGGAGCTGCGAGCAAGAGCCAGGGAGGCCTCTGCGAGCTCCCTGGGAGGCCTTTCCGCTCGTCTCTCGGCATGCTGAACTCCTACTGACCATTCCACATCTGGCGCTCCTGCACCTTCTCCCTCAAGCCTTCCACACGGGGCCCCAATTAATGGCCCTCCTCTGTAGTAAGGGTACATATTTCCTCATGCCCCTCAGAAAAGAAGACAAAACCTACACCCTCCCTAGGACACTGCAGAGGAACTGGCATAGGCGGTACCTTTTCACTGACTTGAGGTGTACCGAATGCTTTTTTATCTAACTGCACCCTCTGCCAAAGATTCTCTTCTTGACCAAACTCTAGCCAGGATCCAATCTTGGCCGATAAGGATTTAAACAAACACTGACATACTTCCTGAGAGCTCAAGGCCGTATTCCTAGAGGACCCCAGGCCCTTGAAGTGCCTGTCTGAGAAAGGTCAAGGCCGCAAAAGAAGTGAGAGTCCCAGCCCACACCTGAATGGGCTGCTGTCTCTCGGCCTCCGTGGGAGAGGAGGAACCTGACTTCCACGCTGTCCTGCCAGTGGGTTTCAGCCCTGAGCAAGTTCACTATGGATTCAGTGAGACCGAGGAATGACCATGGAACGTTCTTGGGGTGAAAGGGTTTATTACCCAGCTCTTCTCCCTGCGATAGGTCGAGCACTAGGACTATGTCTGCACCCAGCAGTCTGCAGGTCTGTACTCCTCCTCGTCTCTGCTTCCGCCCAGAGCACCGGGCAGAGCTCTATATACAGCGACCCAGTCAATAACAGCTTATTGCCTACAGGTGTGGAAGCAGGCGCCTAGCAGCAGGCCAGTTACATCAAGTAGTTTAGGTTCAGGTGAGGATCCTGGCCATGGGAACCCCAACTTTCCCCACACATCACCAGTTAGCAAACACAGATGGGTGTCACAGGGACTAATCCCCTTCTTTTCCTTTTTGTTAATTTTTCACTTTCCTGACTCTTCTGAGCGCCCCACCACCACCACTCTCATTCTTTTAAAACACTCCACCACCTCTGCACGAATCAAAGTGAGGTTCAGTTCACGTGGGATTCTTCTAATCCCTATTCCAACAGTGCATTATTAATTAAAATCTACGTTTACCACTTTAGCTGCCGGCGCCGTGTATCTCTGACACCTCCCACTCTCTGAAATACTCTTACCTTGCACGACTATTTCTCTCCTCGGAGCAGTAAGTGGGCAATGCAGGCTCTTTTTCGGGATGATGGTTCTGAGAACCATGTCGAGCTCGTGCTGCGCCTCCGGCTGCGATCCCGCGCGGGAACCGGTGAGGAAGGCCAGCAACTCACGACCGTCGCCGGCGAGGCTCCGGAAGAAATCGTCCCAAAGAGAATCCAGACCCGAGGAGGGAAGGTCTCCCTCCCCGACTCCAGCTTTGCCGGGCTGCCCGGAGGCCCCTGCGAGCAGAGGCGCTCCGGCTGCTGCTTTCTGGTCCCCCTCTTGCTGGAGCCGCCCCGGGAACTCCTCGGGCCCGCGCGCCGCCGGGGCCTGCGCGGCGCCTGCGCTCGGCCTGGGGTCGCGGGCCTCGGCGCAGGGCAGGGCGGCCCTCCGCCGGGCCTCCAGGAGGACGCCACACAGCCGCTTGTTGGCCACCTGCGGCCTCTCCAGCCACACGGCCACCGCCGCCCAGAAGCCACCCGGGAGCAGCGCATTCGGGTCGCACACTGCGGCCCGACCCACCTCCGCCATGGCCAGCCGGAGCCTGGGGCCCGGCGGCGGCGGCGCGGGGCGATGACGCGCTCGGCGGCGCCGGTGTGACGTTAGGGGTGGGGCGCTGGGCCGGAAATGAGCGGGGAGAAGACGGAACGGCCTTGCGCCAGCGTAGATTCCTGTCCGAGCTCGGCACGGAGGTCCTGGCTGAGCAACTTGGCCGTTGCCTTGGTCTCCGCGGATCTGCCCGGCGTGGATTGGCGCCGCACGGTACCAGGAGCCGAACTTTGGAGAAGAACTCCCAAACTCCTGAGGATCACCCGGCACCCGATTGTCCCCAGTAGTGACGACCGATACCGGGCAAGGGGCCGCGCGGCGGCTGTCCAGGGTCGCTCCTCTTAGGAAAGCTCGCTCTAGTGCATTTTCACTCTGGCGTGCTGCCTCTGCGGCAGAGTTGCAAAGGGCGCTCTGCTCTGAGCACAGCCCTGGGGTGTTGCCATGACAGGTGAAGGTCAGCTGTCACCTGCGTGTCCCGGAGGAGCAGGGACGCTTGGGTACTGCCAGTTCAGGCCAACGTCACCAGCACAGTCTGCGGGATCTAGGGATATTCCCCACATCCCAGAGTCCTCATTATCTTTGTACATTAGTCCCTCAGTCGTGATCTTCCCTAGAGTCCATGTCAGAATCAAGAAGTGAACACAACTCAAGTCATGTGATTTCTCAGGGACAAGAGCACAGACCAAACGTCTATGGCGTTAAGTCAAAGATAAATGAGCTCTGTGATCCCATAGATACACCTTCCCTCTCACTTCCTTGCTCACTCCTTCCCTCCCAGTCTTTAAACATGGCGCTTGATTTTTATGCTGTCTATTAGTCGTGTCAACCTTCAAAATTAGACAGCCAGGTATTTTACTGGCAAAATAAGCTTACTCAGGAACAGCAGAGGAATTGCAGTTCGGAACATGCAAGCTATGGGGAATTACAGGCAAGTTCAGAGAGACAAAAGGAGGGTCAGTTTTTATTATGTTTTAGGAGAAAATTGAGAATCTACTAAAATAAGCAAAAATGGCCTAACACCTGCCCTCTTGTGGGTAAAATTGTAGTATTTCCAGAATATCTCGCCTGGCTTTAGTACGTCTGCATATCAATAGGTAGAAAGAAGTTTGGCTTTAGAGCGTTTGCATCACTCCTCAGGGGTGGAGAGAAGCAAATCTCCGTATCAGTGGGTAATGACCTGGGCAATGGAGGGCTTACCTGTACCTGATGGGGGAGAGGGAGGGCTGGTTTTGCTTCTGCTGGAGCAGGAAAGAGAGAGGCCTGGGCTGCAGTTTGTAAGCAATAAACAGATTTTAAACTTTATTTCTCCCATTGACTGATTTCGGTTTTCAGAGGTATTTTGCCCCCAGAATTTGCTCTCCCAGACTTACACTCCCCAAGAATGTCCTACTGTCATTCCTTTGGTCGCACTGAATCCACAGTGAACTTGCCCGGGGCTGAAGCCCATTGGCGGGACACTTCCCCTTCCTCCCACCCGCTGATCTGCTGCAGGGCTCTTCTCATTCTTGGAACCCGCCAAGCTCATTCCGCCCATTCTGTTGCTGGGTGGCTGCGGCTGGGGAGCCCTCTCCCTGCACACCAGGCGAAACTTCAGCTTGGGTGGGGGGTGGGTTCTTGACTCTGAACGAGAAAGAGTTCTCGACCAGGTCGGACAGGTGTAGGTAAGGAAGGAGTTCATTACAGCGAGCGTGCTGGTGAATGGCGGCAGCCGCGCAGCAGCAGAGAGCCGGGAAGTGCAGCGGCAAAGAGGGAGAGCGCACTGAACCCTCTCAGCCTGGCGCAGATTTTCTTGCCAACTCTTAAAGCCTTGGCATCCTGTGTCCGCTTGGATCTGCACGGCATGGGGACTAGCCCCGACCACCCCAAGATTTGGGGGAGCCGCAGAGCCCTGGATGGAGGGAGATAATGTTCTAACTTCCCAAAGAAAGGAGATTTTCAGGCAGGCTGCTAAGAGCGGACGGCGCAGCTGCCGTTCTGCCCGGGTCGCTCAGGCGAAGTGAACTCGCAGCGCCTCCGGGAGTAAAGCGGAGGCAGAGTGAAGACTTGGAAATAGAACGAAGCAGCAGCGCAACAGCAAAGACACCGCTGGACGGGCAGAGATGCGATGCGGCGAGGTGAGCAGGGAAAAGGCTGTATTCAAAAGCACACGCTGGAAGGGGAGCGTGGGCGTCCTCAGAGAGGAGGCGCGCTGAGAGACTGGGGGTTCCGTCTTAGGCACTTTCAGGAACGTGACAAAGGGCCAGGGGTTATAGACTTGCAAGGTGGCCTCAAAATGCTTATTTCTGGTGAGAGACATGTCTTCTATCATTAGTCCTCCAGGTAATTCTGCAATATTAAATTAACACAAGAAATTGGTCGGTTCCTCTCCAGGTAATCAGCTTCTCTCTGGGAACATGTCAATCAAGACTGCCCGCCCTGTCCCCAGAGTGGGTTGAGTTATTGTCTGTTTACCAAAGAATATCTTAGGAATCTAACTTCCTAACTTCCTCATTTTTAAAATGGAATCTTAGCCTTAAGATGGAATCCTTCCTGCTCTTACTACACTGTTTCTATCTTGGCTTTTTTGGAAAATGAATCACAATGCTAGTCTCCTGTCTCTGCCCTCCATCAATTCCCTCCCTAGGGCTTTTCTCTAGGGCTTCCCTCTGCTTGGAATGCCCATTCCCTCCCCATCTTCTCCCAATTAAGAAGTCAGACCAAATGTCCTCTCCTCAAACGGAGCTTGTTGACGTCCCAGCCAAATAACCCAGCACTTCACTCCTTGTTGCGCTGTTTTGTTTTCTTAAAATGGTCCCCTTGGTGGTGTGGTCTCCCCCCAAGAACACATGTGGCCCTAGGTGAGGAGCCCTGTCTGGCCTGCTCATCACTGTGGTCCCCGCTTGTTTTTGGCATGCTTGATACACCCAAGGAATAATCGCTGAATGAAAAGGCCTCTGAGTGAAGAGAGTGTGGCAGGAGAACTGTGTAGACTGGCAGGACTGTCTCTTTGGGGAAAAGCAGGGCCCTAACCAGAGGCTGCTGGATGGGATTCACATATAAATCAAGTATAAAAATCAAATGAGTAATAATATCTGACTTGATTGTTTATAGTTCATGATGCGTGATCAAAACTGAAACAGTCCCTTGCATTGGTCACCATGTAAGAAGAGCTTGTTCGTGGTGCTTCAGAAGATGGAGACTGTTGGGAGTTAGGCTTGGGGTTGATTAATGACTGTGCATTGAGTCCCCTATACAGAATTTTATTGTTGTTGACAACCATTTGATCAATAAATATGAGAGGTGCCCTCTCAGCACCACTCTTGCACTGTTTAGCCTCGAGTCCCCTGGCTGGTCCTTTCTGATCTTCCATATCTCATCGTGTCTCCCCCCTCATCCGCGGGTCAGAAGCAGGGAGGGACCGACACTGCCGGGTGTAGGAAGCAGGGTGGAAGCTGGCAAGATCCAGGTGTAGGTCAAGGTTCCAACCCACCACCCAGGGTTGGGAGCGGCCTCTAGGCAGTGCTCTCCTGAAGGACTTCCTGTGATGACAGAAATGTTCTGTGTCTTTTACAGTAGCCACTCGTGGCCACCGAGCACTCAGAATGTAGTGGATATAACTGGGGAACCAAATGTTAAATTTAATGTTAACTAATTCACATTTAAATTAAAATAGCCACATGAGACTCATGGCTGCTGTATGGGACAGTGATGCTCTTGAGAGGCCTAACTGGGATCTGCAAAGCCACTCCACGCTGGGTCCTCAGCATCTAAGTGCTGGGAGCCAGGTGGAGCTTGGGACAGCAGCTCCTGAGGCTTCTCCTGGGAGGCCCTCTGTGCTCGGAGGGTCCTAAGGGCCAGTCCCGGAGTGCTGGTGGAGCGTGATGGTCAGGCCACCCCAGCAGCAGCCCTGTCCATTCCATTGCCTTCCAGGTCCTTAGACACTGCCCAACGCCAAGATTTCTTCAGTATTTAAACCCTTTGAATTGAATATGTTAGGTTTGCAGGTCTTTAAAAGATTTATTTCATTGACATATTTATGTCATGCGAGTACCATTGCCATGAAGATCAAAGCTTCCACCCTTTGTATGTGGACCTCATACAAAACCATGTTATATATTGCACAACCTTTTCCCAGGGCCGTCCGCAGCTGCCTGCTACTGACAGGATTTACGAGGGGCAAGGAGGCTGGTGCTGGTGGCCCAGTGGATCTGAGACAGGACCATGCTTGGCACTGAGTCTTCATGGCCCAGCTCAACCTGATTCTGAACCAGTGAGGAAGATGGTGATGGTGAGAAAGGAGGAAGGGGATGAGGAGAGACAAATGGCCAGAGTTGGGGAGCAAACTTTAGTGCTAACAATCTGTTCAAATAGTTGCAGTTTCCAATGATAACCCACAGAGCAAATGACAAAGATTGCGGAGGGAATGGGTGTGCCAAACAGGGTGGAGAGGACAGAGGTCAAAACAAGAGCAGTGGGCGGGGACTGGTGGTAGGGCCCCAGTATGGGACTACCAGGGCACTGGCAGCCGAGTTACTGCACCTGCTCATGCCAGCTGCACTGCAGCGCTGGGCAGTGTCACTAAGAAGTAGCTAACAAAACATGTACAAGACTGGACTCCCTTTCTTTTCCCCAAAGCCAGTCTTAGTGGCATCTCCATTCATCCGGGTCCCAGCAAAACAACCCAGAGTAGTGTATGACCCCTTCCCCTCACCCTACCTCAGCACCATCCAACATGATTCCGTGTCCACCTGACTCTACTTACAGATGCCCGAAGCACATCCCTGTCAGACCCAGGTCAGAGAGTGTCCTAAGGCCAAGGAAGGGACCGAATGTGGGGTACTGAAGCATTGGCAGGCAAAGACCAGGAGGTGGGTCCTGAAGTGAAGCCAGGGTCAGACCTGGGATCAGTCTTAAACAAAGTCACCAGTGCAGGAAAGTAAACAGAGGCTGCAGTAATGAGGGCAAAGTCTGCTGCGAGCCAACCCAGACAAGCCAGGAGGGCAAAGGTAGACAAACGTGAGAGGAGGCGGTAGGAGAGAGTCAGAGAAGGGTGGGGGGCCTGATGACATTCTCAAGGCTGGGAACATCTGCGCTGTACATTCTGTGATGACACCCTATCTTACATGGAACCCACAATAAAAAGTCATCCCTCCCTCCGTCCTCACCAATGTCCTCTTAGAAACGTTTCCCTTTCACTCCTGCAATGGACTCAAATGATTTCCAAGGGGAAACATGGTTTTCTAATGTCAGTAAAACACATGAACCTGACTTGCTGTCTAGTTGTTTGATTTGGGTGAAATTGGCCTAAAGAACATGTGAATTTTGTAATGAATGGGTATTACTCTCAAAAATATATCTATAAACATCTGAAATCCAGTAGCAGATATATTTTTTAGACCACTAGTGTTGGACCTGCAGGCAATCCTGGCTGCTCCTATGGACTCAGGGACCTCTTGCAACAAAGCCACAGACCCCTGGCTGCAAACGCCTAGATGGAGGATCCGTTCTGCCAGCTGAGCATGGCACATGCATGGCTCCAATTTGTTGTTCAGTCTCTTCTGCTTTTGCAACAGGAAAGTCTCACGGACACCCTTAATTGTAAGTGTTTTGAATAAGACTGACAACTGTGAAGAAAAATGTTGTCTTGGAATGGAGAAGGTTTTTCAGAGTAGAATGGGGATAAAGGGAGAATTTCCCAATATCAGCTGAGCACCTCCATCCATTCTACCAACATTTTAACTGTCACGTGTCTCCAAAACTGACCTCAGCATCTTCGGCCTCTCCACCACTACCTGTCACCCGTCTTTGGGTTCCCTTCGCACGGAGACCTTTTGACTCTCCTTCCTTCTTGTTCCTTCGGTGGTGAGTTGACACGTCCAGGTGATTCTGTCTCTACAAATTTCATTTGATGCGTGTGTTTCAGTATGGATCTCCTATAACAGAGCCTGAGACAAGGATCTGGGTGCAGGGGTTTAACATGGAGCTGACCCCAAGATGCAGGAGGAAGGAGGTGGGGAGTATGAGACAGAAACGCCAGGAAAGGGTGGATCATCACTGGTTACTGCTCGGGGCAACCAGGGCTCACTTCCCCTGGGGCGTCTGAGGAACTGGGTAGAAGCATGGTTCTTAAACCCTGCTGGGCACCTCCTGGGCGTGGTGATTCCTTAGACAGTGCGCCGGCCAGCGTAGGGGTTCTGGTTCTGCAGCGCCGGAGTGAGCCCCAGGAGTCTGCACATGAAGCAACCACCCCAAGGACTCCTCCGCCGGGAGGTGCACTGCGAAGAGCGTCGGGCGCCTGCAGTGAAGGTCCGCCTCGGCGCGCACGGCCTCCGCGGCAAGCACGAACGCGTCCTGCGTTTCCCGGGCGACGGAGGCGACGGCGCAGCGCGATGACGTCAGGGGCGGACGGAGGCCGAGAGGCTGCGCTGTCCCCGGACGCTAGCCGCACCCTCCGAGGCGTTCTGTGGGCGCCTGCTGTGTGCGCTGCGCGGTTCGGAGACCCAGCCAACCGGTGGGACCCTGAGGTGGAGCCCGCGGCAGCTGGGGACGCGGGGGCGCGGGGCAGAGCCTAAGAGCTGGGTGAAGCTGGGCGAGCGGCGGGGGCGCGGGTGCACGTGCAAAGGCCCGGGGGCACATCCCTGGGGCGCCGATTGGGGACCGAGGCCACGAGGGCCAGCGGGAAAACGCACGACATATTTTGGGTGATTCGGACATTGTCCCATAAGGTCATCGGACAGCTGTCACTTACAGGGAGAATGATCAGGTCCGCATTTTAGAGTCGCCTCTTCCACCGTGAAAATTGAAGGCAACTGTTGGTAAAATGATATTGAAACCACAGTTCCATGTCAGGAACAGTTCTAAATGCCCCGTGCATTGCAGCGATCTAGGTACAAGGTACTGTGTATTAGGTAAGCATTACAGTGTTATCACCCTTGAGGCACAGAGAGGTGAAGTGACCTGCTAAGTTCACCCAGCTTATAAACTCTTATGTTAGCACCCAACTCCGCCTGGCTTTAGAATCCTTGCACGTAACAGCTGTCTCATGCAGGTAATATTGGTGACCTGAGGTGGCATGGGGCTCTAGTGGACTTATTGGCTGCTTAGGTGGTGAGACTTGGGGTCGAATATGTCTGATAACAGCTTTATGTTTTGAGGCAATTTACTTCACTCCATTAAGCTCCAGTTTCCCCACCTGTAAAATGAGAGCGCTGATAATACTTGGAGCTGACAGCACCACTGAGGTCATGTAGCTGTTTTACACATGCGCCTGCACCCAGAGAGAGCTCAGTAGTTGGAGGTTATTATGATAGATTTAATAGGAGCAGGGAGAAACGAAACGATTCAGTGGGCATTAAAGAGGTGCAGTGGGGGTCTTGGTATCTAATCCGTCTATTGGGCATGAGGGAGAGGGGAATTCCAGGATGACACGGGTTTATAACTCCAGTAACCCTTGGGCTACTGGCAGTGTGGAATGGGGCCTTGAGGAGGACAAACTGGGTCAGGGGTTCAAGGTGAGCTCAGTGCTGAACACTCAGGACCTCTGGGACATGAGAGAGGAGGGTGTCCAGGAACTGCTGAATGAACATATGGGTCTGGAGGTACGGATTGGGAGCCCTCTGTACATCAAGATGGTTTAAACCGGTGATGCAGTGAGAGCGCCTACAGCCTAGAGTCTTTAAGGAGATGGAGGGAGGAGTATGGTGTCCTGGATCAAAGGTAGGGAGCACGAGTAGCAGGGATGGGGCCATGTGCAGGGAAGTCCAGAAAGATCCAGGGCTCCCCTTGGATTTTATAGCTTGCATTTTTGATGCAAGACCTGTGCCTTATGGGTTTTTTAAAAACTGCTTTATTGAGAGAAAACTCACCAGATAACTCACCCATCTAAAGTATAAAGTTCAGTAGTGTTTCATACGTTCACAGAGTTGTGCAACCATCACCACTAATTCCAGAACATTTTCATCATACCAAAAGAAGCCTCCAACCTTTAGGAGGCACCCCTTGTTCCCCCGCCTCCCCAGCTACTGGTTGCTGCTACATACTTTCTAGTCCTATATATTTACCCATTCGGAACATTGTATGTAAGTGGAATCATGCGATATGTTATCTTTTGTTTGACTTCTAGAATTTAGCATAATGTTTTCAGGGTTCATTCATGTTGTAGCATGTGTCAGTATTTAATTCCTTTTTGTGACACATAATATTTCATTGTATGGATAGGCCACATTTTGTTTATCCATTCCTCAGTTGATGGACATATGAGTTGTTTCTGCTTTTTGGCTGATATAAATAGTGTTGCTATGAACATTCTTGTACAAATTTTTGTGTGCATATTTATTTTACTTCTGTTGAGTATATATTATATGTACATATATTTATATACCCTTCAGAGTGGAATTTCTGTGTCTTACAGGAGCTATGTATTTAAACTTTTGAAGATCCACCAGGTTTTTCCAAAGAGATGGCGCCATTTCACATACCCACCAGCAATGTATCAGGGCTCCAATTTCTCCGCATTCTCATCCATGCTTTTTATAATCTTTTTGATGATGGCCATCCAAGTGGAAATGAAGTGGTATCTTATTGTGGTTTTGATTTGCATTTCCCTGGTGGCCAATGATAGAATCTTTTCATGTGCTTGGTGGCCATTTGTATATATCTGGAGAAATGTCTACTTGAGCCCTTTAAATCAGGTTATTTGGATTTATTATCGAGTTTTAAGATTCTTCATGCAGTCTGAATACAAGTCCCATATTAAGATGTGAATTGTAAATATCTTCTCCCTTCTCTGGTTTGTCTTTCACTTTCTTGATGGTGTCCTTTGCAGCAAAAATCTTTACTATTATCCATTTTATCTACTTTTTCTTTTATTGCTTGTGCTTTTGCTATTATATATAAAAAGATTATATATATAACCTAAGATTATCAAGATTGACTCCTATATTTTCTTCTAAGAGTTTTATAGTTTTAGCTGTTACACTCAGGTCTGGGATCCATTGCAAATTAACTTTTGTGTATGTGTGTGAATATACCGTGTTCCAGCACCATTTGAGAAGAGACTTCCTTCTCCACTGAATTGTCTTGGCACCCTTGTCAAAAAGCAGTAAGTCCTACATGTTAGGGTTTATTGCTGGACTCTCAATTCTATGCCATTGATCTATGTCTTATCTTTATGCTGGTACCATAATGTCTTCATTACTATCGTTTTGCAGTAAGTTTTGAAATCAGGAAGTGTGAATCCTCCATCTTTCTTCTTTTCAAGATTGTTTTGCTATTCAGGGTGCCTTAAATTTCCATATGAATTTCAGGGTCAGCTTTTAATTCTGGAGAAAAAAAAGCCAGCTGGGATTTTGACTGGGATCACATCATATCTGTAGATCAGTTGGAGAATATTGATATCTTAAATCTATTAAGTCTACTGATCCATGAATAAGGGATGTCTTTCCGTTTATTTAGTTCTTAGATTTCTTTCAAAAATATTTTGTAGTTTTTAGAGCATAAGTTTTATACTTGGTCTGTTGAATTTACATGTAAGTGTTATTTTTGATGCTTTTGTACATGGAATTGATTTCTTAGTTTCATTTTTGTGTCGTTCATTGCTGGTGTATTAAACACAGTTGAGTTTTGTGTATTGATCTTGTGCCCTGTAAACTGGCTGAACTAAATTATTAGATCATTAGTTCTAATAGATTTTTAGAGGATTCCTTAGGATTCTCTCTATATAAAATCATACCATCTGCAAATAGAGAGAGATTTCCAGTCAGGAAGGCTTTTATATCATCTTCTTGCCTAACTGCACTGGCTGGAACTTCCAGCACAAAGTTGACTAGAAAAGGGAGAGCGGACATCCTGGTCTTGTTCCTTATCTTAGGGGAGAGGCATTCAGTGTCTCCTACCAGCACGACTGTGGCTGTGGGCTTTTGTTGATGTCCTTGGTGGGGTTGAGGAAGTTCCCTTCTATTCCTAGTTGGTTGAGAATTTTTATCACAGAAGAGTGTGTTGGATTTTGTCAAATGGTTTTTTCTTTATCTATTGACACGATCATGTGTTTTTTGTCCTGTATTCTGTTCGCATAATGTATTACATTAATTGATTTTCAAACATTCAACCAACCATACACTCCTGGGGTACCTCTCACTGGGTCATGATGTATAATCTTTTCTGTATGTTGCTGAATTCAGTTTGCAATATTTATTGAGGATTCCTGCAACTATATTCATTAATGCCGTTACTCTGCAGTTTTCTGGTGACATCTTCGGTGCGGTTTCAGGGTAGTGCCACATTATGGACGTGTTCCCCCCTCTTCTGTTTTTTAGAAGAGCTTGTGGATAATTGATATTCTTCTTTAAATGTTTGGTAGAATTTACAGCTGTAGCCCTCTGGCTTTTCTTTGTGGGTAGCTTATGGATTCCTAATTCAATCTCTTTACTTGTTAAACATCTGTTCAGATTTTCTAGTTCTTTGTGGGCAGTTTTGGTAAATTGTCTTTGCAGGAATTTGTCCATTTCATCTAAGTTATCTCATTTGTTGGCATGTGATGGTTCATAGTCCCCTAGAACCCTCTTTATTTCTTGAAGGTTGGTAGTAACGTCCCCTCTTTGAGTCCTGATTTTAGTAATTTGTGGGTTTTTTCCATTGAATCAGTTTGCCTAAAATCGTCAGGCTTTTTCAAACAGTCACCTTTTGTTTTCATTGATTTTCTCCATTTTTTTTCTCTTTTCTGTTCCATTAATTTTTGCCCTAATCTTTTATCTTCCTCCTACTTGCATCAAGGTGAATGTGCACCTCTTTTTCCCAGTGTCTTAGGGTGGTGCTTGAAGGGCATGACTTGGGGTCGGGCATTTCTAAGGTCAGATCCTTTCTCTGCCACTTCTCAGCCGTGGGAGCTCCAGAAAGACAGCTGGCCTCTTTGAACCTCGGTGTTTCCATCTTCTTTCAATAGGGACAATAGAACTTGGCCCACAGGTTTTGGGAGTCAAATAAGACATGGTCTGCAGACGGCCTGGCCCCTGACACCCAAGCAGGAGCTCAGATGTGCCCCTTCCCATCTTTTCCCTCTCCCACAGAAAAGCAGAGGGTCTTGTACCTGTAAAATTGACCACTTTCCCATCGCTTGCCAGTCAGACTCGGAGTCCAATAACCTAACTATTTCAAATTCAACTGAAAGGATTTACAGGTTCCCATGGACTTTACAGAGTTAAGGTGGTTGTGGGGGGTCCACACCCAGGACCAGCTCTCCTGGTGTTCCTCCAGGTCTGGGTTCACAAGCCTCTCCCAGTGCCTTAATTAGCCAAAGCACTGCAGAAAAGGAGCCAGTCTACTAAGAAAATTCCAGAATGATTCTTTAGTCAAGATTGCTGGGTTATTGGGAGACTGCTTTGCCAGTGGGAAGCCAGGTACTTCTATGTCAAGTGGCTCCCAGGGCAGAGCCCGTGTTCAGAGGCTCTGTGGCAGATACCCCCCATCCAGGCGGCTGGAAGGGGCCCCTTAGGTACTGTCATGCATGGCTGGAGTGGACCAGCCAGCAGGGCCTGGACTCCAGAGGGAGGCTTCCTGAGCCGCGGGTCTGGCTGAGCCTTGGGGAGGGTCTGGGTGCCCCCTAGAGGGCGGGGTGTTCTCCGGCCAAGCTGTCCCGTACAGAACTTCTGGGCTCTTCCTCAAGGCCCGGCTTGGCCATAGTCTCGTGCCCTCCGTGCCCTCCGTGCGTCACAGAGCCAGGCCGCTGGGACTGCCCTTTGCTCTTGGCGGGCTCCTTGTCGCTCCAGGGCTGGAAGCCAGCAGTGCTCACCTGCCTTCCTCCCGGGAAAGGACGTGAGCTCCTTGCGCGGTGATCCTCTCGCTCCCCCAGCTCGCTCTTCCCTCGTTGAAAACATCGCGCTTGCTCCGCTTCTCGTGGGTGTTGCGGATCGCAAACCTGCGCACCTTGACGCGGGCTGTGCACGTTGAGCAGGTGGAGGTCACGATGGCGCTCCCCTCGGAGAGGAGCAACAGCACTCTGCTGCCTGACTTGCCTGCTGGGCCCCTGCACGCGTTCCGGGCTCGTGCGTCCTTCAGCTGGAGGCAGCTGGCGCTGTTCCTGGAAAGCGAAAGCGAGCTGCGCCTGAAGGTAAGCGCCCACGGTGCGGGCTGTGCCGGCCTTGGGGCTGCCGGGCAGGTGCGGCTGCCGGGCAGGTGGGGCCTTCTAGCACGTAAAGCCGCACTGCTCGCGAAGGCCAGCACAGGCCTGGCCCCTCTCTGCCCGCAAGATGAGTTCAGGAGTGGCCATGGGCAGTTCACCTTCCTAAGCCTCAGGTCCCTCTGCCTGCAGCTGGGAAGGACTTTGGCCTGTCCTGAGTTCCTAGGTTAGACTGCATGTCTGTGCGGCCCGGGGCTTGGAGGAAAACTGTGTAAGTGAGCATAGTGAGATCCCACCCTCTGCCTCCAAATCGGCCACTCCCTGCCTCCTGCGTTTGCAGAAAGCCATCTTCTCGACTCTGGAGAATGACCCCCTGTTTGCCCGTCCCTGTGGAGGTGACCTCTCAATGGAGAAGTACCGGGAACTGAGCTTCCTGCGCTACAGACGGGTCCTCGAGCATGACTTCCTCTCCATGCAGGACATGATCACCAGCCCTCTGCAAATGTCCACATTCATTAGCTGCCTGGGCATGTATGACTGGTCCCTGGCCACCAAATTCTTCCTGAGTGTATTGGTGAGTCGGTGATGTAGGAGTGAATAGCAGAAGTGCTTCATGCCCAGAAAGATGGCTGTGTCCCAGGGCCGGCAGGGTAGGGGACACTGCCCCTCTGCTCCTTTCGACTAAAACAAACAAACAGCAGTAGGTTTAGAGGATTGCCCTTGGGGGTTGGTGATTGCTACTGTTTGCTTGCTTTTAATGTTTTGTGGGGATTTAGGCATTTGGGGATAAATGCATAAACACAGAACGAGGGGTTCTGTGTAACTTATGTGGACAGGCACTCACCACTCCCGTGAGCTCAAAGCCAGGGCAGCTGTCTCTGGAGACCCAGGGCCCAGATAATAGTGCTGTCAGCCAGCCTCTCAGAGAAGTGGGGTGGGCATCAGGTGGGCATCAGATGCCCAGAACAGCAGGTCTCTGTACTTCTGCCTTTTTAGACTTTTGGATCAGCAATCTACAGCTCTGGTTCTAAAAGACACTTGAAATACATTCTGCAGCTCCTCAGTATGGAGGTAAGTGGGGGTCCACGGCAACTTGGGAGCCACATTCTCCTCCCCGGCCCCCTCCGATTTGTGGCAGGGCAGTGTGAGGTCGTGCCCATTGTAAGAAGGGTGTTCTTAGTCCCTGAAATCGCTGGCGCTGTCCGTTACCAAACGGGCATGCTGGGCGCCGAGCACCCCGTGTGTTCAGCATTTTCGTGTCCAAGCTCCAGCCTCGGTTTCCCTCCGCTGCGCGGCGCAGCTCTGTCACCACCGTGCCAACTCAGCGAGGCCCTCGTCAGCTCATCCCGCCTCTGTCCTCACGAGGGGTGGGGGGTGCTGTCCCGCACAGCAGGGTGGCTCAGTAAGATCTCCAGTTGGTGAGATGTAAACGGAGATTCGGGGCTTTGACCCATGGTCCAGTCCTTAAAGGAGAGATGGCAGGGTGCCCCTTGGATGCACAGAAAGAGCCTTTTCTGACTTACCCGACCTTGTGCTTCACTGTTAGATTTTTGGATGTTTTGCTCTGACTGAATTAAGTCACGGGAGCAATACGAAGGCCATCCGGACTACCGCTCACTATGACCCCGCCACCGAGGTAGGTGTCCCCGTCCCACCGGCCTCTGAGCCTCCAGCATACATGATCTGGGGGTGTCGTGGGCGAAACGTCAGCAGACCAAGAAGCCCACGCTGAACACGGGAGCCCACCAGATAGAGGTCTTGAGCGGCAGTGCCCACCCCCACCACGCGCTCTCCAAAGGTTTGGACTTGCGTGTCGTGTGAATGCAGGGAAGAAGTCAGCGTTTTGTAAAATTTGTTTCTTTGTTCTCAGGCAGCCTGGGTGTCGGGTTGGCGAGCAGCTCGTACTGCTGGCGCCTGAGCACACGACCCGTGTGAAGGGGCCCGCCGTGGCCACGGTCTCTTTCTACTGCTGGTCTGAGTGCCCTGCCTGCAGCCTGTCTTCTGTGTCCCTGCCCGCCCGAGGCTGGCCCCTCGCCGTCTTTCCCTCCCCTGTGGCCTGTGCTGGGGCCACTGCCTGACATCCTAGCCATCATTTCTCATAGCAAGGCTCCCGTCTGGGTCCTGTGGCCTGGGGACCCCCTCTGTTCAGAGCAGTCTCCCTTTGTCCAGAGGAACAAACAGCGCTTGCCCTTCCCTTGGAGATTCTGCAGAGATCATGGAGTGCATCAGACAGGAAGACACCTCCTTTCCACCATATTTCAGGGGCTCATTGTGACTTTAACTTTTTTGTCTTGGGCAGGAATTCATCATACATTCCCCTGATTTTGAAGCCGCCAAGTTTTGGATCGGCAACTTGGGCAAGACAGCCACTCATGCGGTGGTGTTTGCTCAGCTCTGCATGCCAGGCGGCCAGTGCCACGGACTGCATGCCTTTGTCGTGCAGGTAGGCCGGCCACTGTGCCAGGGCAGAGGTGCTGTCAGCAGGGGCCATTGGCAGCTGGAGGCGGGGGTGCCTCTGGCCTCCGGCAAGCAGGGACTCTCCCTAGGGTGCGGGACTGCCGCCCTGCACCCTCCCCAAGCAGCTGTCCAGCCCCAGATGTCAGCGGTCCACAGCTGAGAAACCTGGCCCAGACACACGCCTTTGAGAGCCACCGCCGGAGGCCATCGGGAGGAGAATCTCTGTCAGCACCCATGTTGGTGGCATCTCCGACATTTGTCACAAATCTGGATTTCCCAGTCTGTGGATTCTGACTCAGCAGCTCTGGGGTGGGTTCCTGGGGTTCTGACACCAAGTCCAACATGGCAGCCTTGGTGTGGCCTGTCCCTGGGAAACAGGGAGCTGCTGCCGAGCAGGGAGCCTGGAGCTGGTGGCGGGGCCGGGCCCTCCTGCCACCCCATGGGGCGGCTCTGACCAGGCCTCTCGTCTGGGCAGGCTGGGCACTGAGTGAAGGAAGCCTGCTGCTCCTACCCTGAGCCCAGGCTGCCATTGTGTTCTGTTGAGACTTTTCTGGTGGGGGCTCCCATGAGAATAGAAATCATCATTTTTAGAATTGATGTACAGTTCCCATAACATGCAATTAAGCATTTGAAGTGAACAATTCAGTGAACTTCATGTATTCACAGGCTCAACAGCCACCACTCTAGTTTCAGCATGTGTCCGTCTCCCCAGAGAACCACCCCATACCCCATGACCGTCACCCCCCATCCCTGCCCCAGCCAGGCAAACACTCGCCTGTTTTCTGTCTCTCTGGTGTTGCCTGTTTTGGACATTTCTCAGGGAAGGAATCACATGTGTGACCTTCACTGTCTGCTCCTGTCACTGAGCATGTTTCTGAGGTCCATCCACTTTGTCATGTGTCATAATTTCCTTTCATTTTCAAGGCTGAATAATCCGTTATGTGGCTAGAGCACCACTTGTGTGTCCATTTGTCTGTTGATGGACATTTGGGTTATTGTCACCTTTTGGCTGTTATAAATAGTGCTGCTGTGAACAAACATTCATGAACGAGTATCTGTCTGAACACTTGGCTTCAGTTCTTCAGGGTCTGTACCCAGGTGTGGAATTGCTGGGCCATATGGTGATTCTGTGTTTGACTTTTTGAGGAATCACCATACTGTTTTCCACAGTTTCCACCAGCAGTGTGTGAGGGTTTCGATCTCTTCACATCCTCACCAGCACTTACTTCCCTTGTTTTTTAAATAACTGCACTGGTGGGTGTGAGTTAGTATTTCTTATGGTTTTGACTCTCATTTTCTTAGTGACCCATGATGCTGACCATCTTTTCATTTGGTCTTTTGTGTATCTTCTTTGGAGAAATGTCTGTTCAGTTCCCTTGCCTGGTGGAAATAAGCAAAGACCCCCCCGACTTGCCCCATGAGAAAGGCAGAGGCTTGCTGCTCAGAGCCGGCTGCAGCGGGGGGCAGCTCACCATCGCCTGGGAGGCTGGGCATCCTGTGTGCCTGGCTGGGGTTGGCTGGAAGTTGGAGCTGGGCAGGAATTAGGGAAGCCGTCAGGTATTGATCAAGCCCTGGTTGGTGGCTCCAGGGCACGTTGCTCAGCTCCCTGGGCTGGTTGCTGCAGGTCGAGGGTCAGAGTTCTGCTGGCATATGGGCTGGCCGACATCCTGACTCCTGTCAGGCTCTCTGTCCATTTCTTAACTGAGTTGCCTTTTTATTGTTGAGTTTTGAGTTCTTTTTTCTTTTTTTTTTAAATTTTTCATTAAGGTTATTATTAATACACACTGTTATGAAAGCCTCACATGAAAAAACAATGTGGTTACTACATTTACCCACATTATCAAGTCCCCACCCACACCCCAATGCAATCACTGCCCATCAGTGTAGTAAAATGCCACAGAGTCACTATTTGCCTTCTCTGTGCTACACTGTCTTCCCCTTGAACCCCCCCACACCATGTGTGCCAGTCATAATACCCCTGAATCCCCTCCTCCCTCCCTCCCCACCCGCCCTCCCCCACCCCTCCTCTTTGGTAACCGCTAGTCCCTTCTTGGAGTCTGTGATTCTGCTGCTGTTTTGTTCCTTCAGTTTTGC